TCACAGCCGAATAAACAGCCCATTCACAACCCTCAGTTTATTCACACTGTAAGCAGTTCAGGAGCTGGCCTCCAGAGCAGGGATGAGTTTTGTACACTGACATTTTCAGTGAACAGCGGACTTCACCCCAAATAAGTCCAGAAAATTCAGCTGTACAAATTGGAAAAAAATCGATGTAATAGACTGAAGAAGTTCCAGTAGGGAGCTGCGTCAGTACGCTCAGGGTGCAAAGGAACGGGTAAAGGATTACTCCATGCTGAAAAGAAAAGAGACACAACGTATCGACTGTGGAGCCTTCTTCAGGTGACAGGCTGTGTCTCTTCTCTTCAGCATGGAATAAGCCTTTGCCTGTTCCTATGTGATCGGTAATTAGAAGCGGCTTTGGGTGAAAGCATCAACTGAATAAAGTTTCACCCTGAGAAGACTGAGTTGTCTACAGTACCCACTGTAAGTGTTTGCTTTAATGAAGCCATTGACCTTTATCAAGGTCATAATAAGACATCTTGCAATTCCTTTAGTTTTTTAGCCAAAATCTCTGAAACACATAACAGCCATGTTTTAACAAGTTATTAGACGCAAAGCACTCTGTGAGTCATTTTAGTGAAATTACAGGCATTTCATACTTCATCCAGTCCAGGTTACAAAAAAACAACATGGATAACAGCAGTTGGCAATTTACTTGTCAAAAAGCCAGCTTTATTTACTCAAGATGATGGAGGAGTGTTGTAATTTGCTCCTGTCATTCAGGAGCTAGAAAAACATGCACTTTAATGTATTAGAAAGTATAACTTTTTTAATAAATGCAGTTTTGTCTAAGTGGTACACCAACACTGGAAAGAAGATATCATATCAAAGATTTACATAACAGATTTGGGCACTGCATTTTTAAAATTTTATCTAAACAAAAGTCCTGGATAAAAATGTACCTTGTGACCCTGGCTTCAAAAGCATTCCCTGCCTGTTACGCAACAATGCCCCCTATCAATCCATTTTGGGAAAAGAAAATGATAACACCTTCAGGGGAAATATTATACCACAAAATAAGAAAATAGTTAATTGTTCTCCTGATACAGTCCAAGTCCCTGTACCTTTTCTTCAAACACAGATATTACAATGAAAGCGAGCAAAAGAACTGTTTCATACACGCAGAAAACTCACACACAAATAAAAAAAAGTTTCTAAACAGAATGGTTTAGTCAAAAATTGGACAGAAATCAACAGACATGTTGACAAAATATTTTTTTTCTACCCCTTTCAAACATACTCAATCATGTTCACCATTATGACCTAGGGATATGCAAACATTCCTCCAAAATGTAATTTATCACAGCCAATAGCAATTTTCCACACTCATCACGAGTATCACCAACACTTCTAATCTTCTGTAGGCATCGTAAGAGAGACAGCGCCACAGTCTCCCATTTATTTCACAAGGCCAAGAACAGGAAGCACTTCCGTACACAGAGGATTATGGGAGTATGGAGCAAGCTAACCAGCCATGCTGTCAAAGCAGTACCCTGCCCTGTTTCAAGAAACAGCTAGGTGAGACTCTTGGATTGATTAACTACTTACAACCAAACAAGCTAGATTGGCTGAACAGTCTCTTAAAGTCTGTAACTTTAATTATGTTAAAAATCACAGGGGCTTCTCTTTACGGGGTTCGCTGGGGTCACCCAGGCCAACTCAAGCCTACCCAGTTCTAAGAAAGCTAGGCCAACAATGTGTTTCCACTTTGAGAATCCTTTATCCTACAGGTAAATAAAATCTCCACCTCCTCTCGGAACAGGTACCTTCAGACGAGCCAAAAATCTGAGAATCTGAAAAAGAGTGAAATTGGTGGCTCTCTCAGACAGGCTCATTCGCTTTCCTTTTGAAGGCCACCATTCTAACGCATTCTCTTAAAAAGTGTCAGTAGATGTGCACTTGGTTTTGAGTGTGAAGACTGAGGAGAAGAGAAAAGAAGGTTTCCGTGGAAGAATTGGGGAAAAAAAAACTGGTTTCCTGGCATCCATTACCTGCTAGCTAGGATGTGATGTACGACAATGGAGACACCACATGAAAGGCAAGGACTGTGGAGCAGTTCATGAATAGCAGGTTTCAAAACATTTACCGACGGTTTTCTGTCCTGGCACAGTGGCCTACACTGCCAGACCATCATGCTGCCCCAGAAAAAAAATTAACACTTGCAACAATGCGATGAAGGTGAAATACCTCCCAAGGCTGTCCTTAATAAGAAGGACTCAAACATGCTGAAAGCCTCACAAGAAGAGGGGAATGAACAGAATAAACTTTAACCTTTGAAAGCTTCAGTCATCCCAACAAGTGCCGTTTCCCCATCAAACTTCTAAGGCTGCTGCAGGTAGAGGTGTTAGTGGGGCCAGCAGGGGGCGCTCACCCTGTGGTCTACGCGGGTCCAAATGCCCCAGTATAGTGACGGGGACACTATACTGTAAAATGGCGCCGTCCTTCGGATGAGACGTAAAACCGAGGTCCTCACTCTCTGTGGTCATTAAAAATCCCAGAGTGTTTCTCGAAGAGTAGGGGTGTAACCCCGGCGTCCTGGCCAAATTTCCCATTGGCCCTTATCAATTATGGCCTCCTAATAATCCCCATCTTCAATACTCTGTTTTCCTCCCCACTAATAGCTGATGTGTGGTGAGCGGTCTGGCACACTATGGCTGCCATCGCATCATCCAGGTGGGGCTGCACACTGGTGGTGGTGGAGGAGAGTCCCATTACCTGTAAAGTGCTTTGAGTGGAGTGTCCAGAAAAGTGCTATATAAGTGTAAGCAATTATTATTATTACTATTCATTACCACCAATTCACTGATTCTTCAAACCATATCTGAATCATAAACTACATCATAAAAAGGGAAGGATTTTTTTGTAGATTTTCAAAAATCTGAATCACAACCACGTACACCATCAAGAATGCGTCAAATTCCTTACCACTTACTGTATGCATTAATTACTGTATAAAACGTGTCAAGTTTAAAACTAAGAAGCTTTGGACATTCTTAAACATTAGATAATGGCCCTTTTGCCTTGATCAATAGCTACAAAATTGCCTATCAGTTTTCTTTCTTAGCACTTCATAGAAAAAAAATGTTGGTTTACGTTGTTTTTTGTGAAAAAGAAAAACACTTTTTTTTATTTTAAAACTTCAAGGGCTATTGGAGTAGTAGCCATTGAAAGCTTAAAGAGTGAAATGTGCTTATTAATATTATTCTTGGGATGATTCCTGAGGTTAATGATGCACAGTAATTTTTGCTTTTAAATGACGTTTCGCAGTATTTATTTCTAAATGTATATGTACATTGGTCAAAGCCCTAAATAAACAATCTCAACTTCACTCCTAATTACAAACTAAATAGAAAGTGCAAACAGAACATCTTAACTCTTAACATCTTAACTGCTGTCCACCAGACGTGCAAAAAAATAATCTTTTTTTAAAAAGAAAGCAGACTCTCAGTGACTGAACAGTTGGTTATGGCTCATCAAATGGAAATACAAAGTGGTAAGAGAATGGTCTACACTCAATTTCCATGAGGCAGGAAGTAAAACTTCACAGAAAATAAAGCAGGCTGTCAGTGGTCAAACACTGGTGGTAAAAAGTTCTTGAGTGCCAAACTCTAAGGTAAATTAAAAGGTGGACAGTTTCAGTTGACAGTGTAAATAGGGAAATACAGCTCTGTGTGAGGGACACCTCAAATGGAAGTGTTGTTTATCCCCACTCGAGGCAAATCTGACAAGAAAGTGGGTTCAGGCTATATTGGTACAGCTGCCTACCACTTCATGCTAGTCTAAAAGAAACTTGTGAAAAGACAGGTCAAATCGTGTGTACTGAGCTTCTTGCTAGCCGAACCACAGTCCAAAGGGTTCGCTTTCAGGCTGTTCTTGTTAATTTTCCTCAACACCGGAGAAAGAAGAGCAACACAAAAGAGCTACAAGGTTTAAAGGCGAGACCTTGAACAGGATTAAAAATCCCTAAACCTCCCACATAAATACAGCCCTAATACATCTCATTTTGACGTCTGCTGTTCCTTTCGGTTATTTTAGTTAAAATTATTATGAGCATTTGACCTGTAACTATTCAGGTTGTCCGAAATGAAATGCAACAAATTCACCAAAATGAAGAAAAAGAATAATGAAAAAATTCTATAGTGTGTGCAATTTTTCACAATCATAATAAGGTGTTAAATAAATGTCCACAGTACCTTAATATACAAATTTACTGAGTTCTTCTTAAACAGCTGGTGAAAGGAACAAAATAAAATAGCGGCATTATCTGCAACGTGATCATTTTTTACCCCAGGCAGCAACAATCCCAGGTCCTACATAAAATTGTTGATTATATTTGCCTTTAAAAACATTTGCAGGAGAGCCAGCCCTTATTATACGACTGAAGAGTGCAACATTTTACACGTTATTGGGGAACTATTTGGAATGTAAATAAATAAAGCTCATTGGGAACATGTAAGCGTGATTAAAAGGTTTAAAAAATATTAGCCTTAAGTTTAAAGTATATTTCAATATCGGGCAACTTGCAAAATTATCATATGTCGGTCTGCAGCACTCCCAAATGAACTATGGGTGAGTGAAAGAGTATTATCACAATTTTCCTTACGGTTCTGTGTCTTTTTGTGCCGGTATTAAAACAGAAAGACACCCTTCACAGGAGGAGAGACCCCAGAAATAAAATCCTACTGGTTCTTAAAAAAAATCCTTAAAGCTGAAGGATCTGAGCCCCTGACCACAATCCCACCTCTCCTGTTACAGAGAAACCTCAGTGACAACATTCTCAGTATTAATTGCAGGATCATCATGTCTGCTTTTGTTTCAAATTCGGTTGGTTGTTCATAATACACAGGGTTACACTAATATGTCTTTTACATTAATACATCCCCACCAGTACGTCAAACATCAAATTCAAACAACCCCAAACATCAAAGCAAGACACATACTGTATATATTTCTCAACAGTAGGGATCTGGACTTGCCTGATTGGTGTGTGTTCTGCATATCCTCGTTGTTACCATCCTGAATCCTGCGATTCACCCCATAGGTGAACCTGGCTCCATCATCTTTCTTGGCCACAGATCCATTGACCTGCCCCGTGCCCTCCCTCTTAACTGAATTCGATCGAGTGGGTATCGGCACAAAGGTGGGGTCGAGGTCCATTATCAGCTGGTTCAGCTGCTCAATGGATTGATCAATATCCATAGCGAGCGAGGCAGGTGAATCTTCTTCTTTGCTTGCGATATGCAAGCCATTGGATTCCTTCAGCGCAATAGTCGCCCTCTGTACAGCATCTCTGCTGCTGCTCCCTCTAGTGGGAGTGTCGGGGATTGCAGTTTGGCTGGGGTGGCTACTCATCTGTCTCTTCTCTGGAGGGAACCTCGTGTCACTCTCTGCTGGCTGGTAAGTGTAGTGCTGTGCGGCCACCATCTGCTGCTGCTGAACCCAGGTCTGTGTGGAGTAGCCACTCTGCCCAAAGGTCTGGGTCTTTGAGGGTGCCACATGAGAGCCAGAGGGGTTCCTCTGGGGGAGGTGACCCGGCTTCAACTCGTTGAAAACCCTCTCGTAGTCCTCCATGCTGATTCCCAGGTCAGGAACACCGGCCAGGCGCTGCTCTTCGCCTGTGTGACTGCTGAACCCATCCGACAGCAAGGAATTCTGGCTGCTCTTGTGGTACCCAAAGTGGCCCAGCTGATTGGAGTGCTGGCCCTCGGAGGACGACAGGGTGCCAATGCTGTCTACGCTGTGAAGGTCGTGGGTGGGAATCTCGTCGTCTAGGATATCCGTCTCCCTGTCCTTAATCCTCACGTCCCCATTGACGTGGACCTGGGCCGGAATCGTGTGCTGGACGCCGACCAGCTGCTTCCTCTCCGTCATCTCCCTGCAGGGCTCTGCGCTGTCCAGCCCAAACCCGCTCAGAAGACGTTTCAGCTCTGCCCTCTCCTTCTTGCTCGGCCCTCGTTTGGTCCCCGAGGTGCAGCTGGTCCACACCGAGGCCGTGGAGTGCCCGGAGTCGCTGCTGATGGACAAGGCGTGGTCGCTGTGGTCCGGGCTGCTGGTCACAGACCCATCCTGAGGCCCCCCTGCCAGTCCGCTGTCTGTAGTGCTCTTCTTCCTCACTTTGGCATACAGATTCCCGTCAACAGGCCCCTGCGAGTGTGGCACTGAAAGGACAAGAGGGCAGCGTTTCAAACACTCATCCTGTGCTGATGATCGTGGAGCACATCCGCCCTAGCAACCTCCTCCGTCACGCGCTGCAGGAGGACACCCAACGTACCGGCAACCACATACACGGCACTGCGTCTGTGCTTTCCAGACATTCATCAAGATTCATATGGTTTACTTTATGCCTTGCCTGTCAAAGCATGGTATCCTCTGAAAGATCACACCTCCATGCGATAATAAGCCTCGACTTTTTTTTTTGTTTTGGTTGAAAAGGTCGGAAGTTTGGTCTACCTTTGAGGCGAAAGGCACTCTATAAACAAGTTTTTAGCAATACAAATTATTAATTTAATTCATTTGGACACAAATTATTCGAACATATAAATATGCATATAGGCGCTGACAGTAGTGAAAAAACGAACACTTAAGCTGTTAAAATCCAATGCATTCAATCAATGAGTTCCTAACAAATGCAACACAATGTCCGTTTACTCTGCCAAGATTGAGCCACTGATAAAATTCTGTATGATGTCTTTTGCTTGGATTTGTACCCTAAGGCTGTGGCAAAATAACGAAGGTAAACATACCTATTTTTCCTGATGCCAATTAAAATGTTCATGGTTGTGAAAGAAGAACTGAGAGATTTCCATTGTGGTCTTCTTTATTTGAAAATTCTTTGCCTCGGAGAATTCTTTTTGAAAATCAGACAAGGCATATTAAATGTTCATTGGATCGAAACTCTGAATTTAATTTAGTGTTTCCACCACATAAATCCGAACTATTAAAATGGCAGAAGAAACAAAGGTTCACCTTTCATTTTTGTACCAGATCTGAAAGTAAATATTGAGGATTACTGTGGGATTTGACCTTTAAAAGGGTGCTGTTTACATTACATCACAAAGTCCTTGAAGCCAGCAACCCACAGAACATAGCTGTATTTATACTCTCAATTCTTAAAAATAAAAAAAGAACAGGAATTTCCACACGCACACACAAGAGAATCCTGTAAATTACTGTTATACAAATATTAAAAAACTACCAACAAATTTAGAACGGTTTCCGATTTGTCAAAATGAGGATCCAGGAGTGACAAAACATACATAAAGCAACTTTTTAATGCTTTAAATTGAGAAAAGCTATCCATAATGTCACTGTTCAAAGTCCACATTCCAAATATACATAAGCAAACAACAGCATAGCTAACATACCTAAGTCAGTCTCCCATTAAATGCCTGTCTTTTAGGGAAGCAAAGCATTGAAATCCAAATACCAGGCATGCATGATAAAAGCAGCGCAGCCTGGCAGCCCCCTCTACTTTACTGCCCCCTATTCATTCACTACTTGTTGAAACACAGTTGGTTCAGAGCAGCTAGATAAACACATCCATGGAGCTGTCTGAGAGGAGGCTCTTCCAGCTTTTCACCAGTGCATTCACTCGGACATCTCGAAACAGGAGAACAAGGTGACCCTTTCTGCGGCGCACGTCAGGAGCCCTGGATTGTTCCCTTTGCTCAGGCAGTTCTGGGCAGGCAGGGAACTTGCATTCCTCCCCACAAGGTGACAATATTTCTCCAGGGTTCTCTCTCCTGCTCTCCTTCACCACCAAACCTCCCCCGCCCCCCCCCTTCTCCACCATTCCCTCCACCCCTAGCGGGCTCCCCTTCCCTTCAGAACACTCCTTACCTCTTAATTAACTGCAGGTAACCACGATCTGCCCCCCCCCCAAATGTCCACATAGCCAAGCGCTTGGAAAATCAGCCGAAGAAGAAAAGAGTGTGGCTCGCAGACGCCAAGCCAAGCCAGCACACAACATCACGGAAGGCTCCCCGTTTTAGCCGCTCTGCACTGGGGAGGTAAGTGTTTGTGCAGCGTACACAGGAGACCTTCAATTGGCCAGATATGAGAAGGAGAATGTAAACACGAAGGCGGGCCGTAGAAGGAGTAGGCAGTAGGGTTTAGCTGTAATCCGAACTCCCAGAGCCAAGGGAGACGTATAGGAAGAGAGAGAGGGAACTTAAAACAAAACCATCTGAGAGCTGAACACAACATTCCTGTACCCTGAAAAACCGTGCTTTAATTAGAACGGTCTTCCTTCTTGGCTATTTCTTTCCACTCTTTGTGAATCGGGGCCAGATAATTTCTCAACAGTAGGTAATCACAAAATTATATGGCAACGCTAAAATGTTTCGCACTGGCATAAAACCAGATGTGCGCAGAAAACCTCAATTGCTGGGCTCACAGATTGTTTCAGCATCGGCATGAATCAAGTTTGGAAAGAGTGAACCTGCACAGACCACTGTGCTTCAACAGCAATCTTTTTTTTCCAGTTTTTACTGCTTCTGAAGATAATAAGCACATACTTATCAATGACTAACAAGACAATAAAACCTGTGAAAAAATGTTGATAGTCGGTTTTCCAACATATTTACCTATGTTAGGAATTTAACAACTTAAAATTCTCCAGCATGTACATTGTAATTACACCTTTATTTTTTAAAAATCCATGAGTCATTACTTTCAAGAATTGTTTTTAATTTTGAACTAGACAGTTCTTTAACATCATCGTATCTTTTTAATGTTATGCGGTATATATTTTAGACCTAAAGCTAGGAACTTGTAATTGAAATGCTGGAGTTTTAATTTAGCCTAACTAATTACAGTTTTCACTATAATCAGCAACTACTGTAACACTAAAACTCTTAGTTCTATATCCCCAGTGGTAACAGGCACACATTACAAAAGAACTTTGATTTCCTGGGCTCGCTCTGAAAGTCGTCCTTGAGAAACAACAATGAATAGGGCAAGGTGGTGCTGTTGTGCATTTTACTGTACTCTTAGTCATTCTGTCTTATCTCAGCAATATCTGTAAAGATAATCACACCCTTTATTTTTTTTAAATTGGAGGGCAGCATAGCGTAGAGGGTAAGCCTTTTTATAAAATTTTGATTTATCTGAAAACTGAATGACTTTCTCAAAAAAAATGCATGTTTAGCTTCTATTTTACTGATGAAAATACCCAGGTGAGAAAGCAGTTTCATGTGAACTACACACTGCTTTTATTTTATTGCTTGTAACAATCTACAAGAATGTTTTCATGTTGCTTGTGATCTTTTATTATTTTGATGAAAAGAAACAGCAACTTCTTTCAACAATTAAACAGAGCTGGACCCAGGGAATATCAAGTCATGTCTTTTTTTCTAAAAATAAAAATGAATTTGAGAGGGTGACATAATGAAGTGGTTAAGCCTTCGGACTCATAACAGGTGGACTGCAGGTTCTAGCCCCTGCTGCTGTTCAACCTTGTGAGGTGTTTCATCACAGTACACTCGTACTGTATGTAGCTTTGTACTCAGGAATATAAAACCCTGTCATTCAAGACACAGCCTTACTGCACTGACGAATTCCAGTCAGGGTGAGCATCGTCTGTAGTTTTTCATTGTCTTAACTGACAATCCATGAGGTTATTAAAATTTTGAAAAAAATAACTTCTGTACATTTTAAGTGGGTAGCTGCGTCAGCATTTGTAGGCAACAAAGGAACAAGTAAAGGTTTATTCCATGCTGAAAAGAGAAGAAAGAAAGGTTTGTGGTTAGCTTACACCCGAAGAAAGCTCCACAGCTGAAACCTTGTGTTATGTACATTTTGATATGCATTTTGTCATGCAAGTTGTGGGTGTGGGCATGTATTACTATCAGTGTGGACTGATATAATAGAGAACAGTAAATAAAAACAAAACTAAAGTCAACTGGTAGATGTATAAAAATACAAATTTCTGTGTAAAAAAATTGGTACTATGACTTTAAGGTTCCTGGGTGGACATAGTTGACCCTTAATCTCATACAGCCCAGTAAAAGACAGTACTCTGCAATATCACAGAGAACTGGAGTTTGATGACTGGCACAGTAATATTATATAGTCTGTTGCTGTAGATGAGTTGTTACACAGTATTCACAACCAACCTGCAATATGCGGAATGGATTTTCATTGACCTACTTCTGAAGTGGAAAAGGTAGCCTCTGGTATTTGCTAACTGATATTTCTGTGTATTCCCAGCATTCACTTTACATATATGCATGTGTAAACTTTAGCACAGCCCTAATATGAGTAAATTATGTGCAAGCATTTGTTCCACAACAGTGCTTTGAGCCTCTTCTTGTGGTACAGTGATTTACTGCATTTGTACAACACGTCTCTCTTTAAAGAAGCGATGATGGGTGATGAGGCTGCAGTCTAGGAAGCAGTGTGGATCGCTCTGGACTCAGAGGACATACCTTGGACCAGAGGACTGTAGGTTCTAAATCCTAGCTGGAATGCTACTGTTGCAGACTGGAGAAAAAGTAACACTTTTTTATAGTGCATATCAGCCAGCAAATCTGACTTCACTCAGACTGTCCTGCTGTATCAACACGTCTCCGCTGTTTTAAAAATTCGATTTGTTTTTTAAATGAACCAGAAGTGGACACAAGCAAAATGACCCTAAATCCAGACTGTGGAATTTATATCTATTTTATTTTAACTAATGTATCCATCATGAAATCGCTCTCTAAAAACTGATTTTGTGGATAACAATCCATTGGATTATACCATATGAATGAAAATGGTGAGGGTGCAAGTCTACAAAATGGGATAATCGCTCATTTAAACAGAAGTGGAAAATCTGTAACTAAACCTTTTCTGTGTTTACACTGTCTTTTGAGATTTTTGCCATTATGTTTCACTGGATTATATTTGCTCCTTTACCACATGATCAGTATATCAAGGACAATAAGTAGAATACTTAAAATCACAATAGGCAGAATTCTTTTATTTGACTTGGCAACATCCACTCACACAGAATGGAATGATATGCACTAAAAAACAAGTTCTTGGCTGATTACCAAGTGCTGAATTCCACTGTCATTTAATTAAACCTTCACTCTCAGGTGTAATGTTTGCTGAGAAAATTTGCTTTGGAATTATACTACTGGAGTGTTTGAGGTTTGTGGAAGGAATGTCCCCTAAGTAAAGAACAGTTTTTCATTGTGTTTTTTTCATGCTTTTTTAAAGCAGCTGGAGTGATTACATTTCCAAAACAACACACAACACAACAACTCCTCTATCAGTAAAAGTAATAGAATTCTTTTTTTTTTTGCAGTATCTCTTATGTTCTTTTTCATTCTGTATCTTGTTGAGTATAAATAAACAATCTCACGGGAAAAAAGACAGCTGGCAGAAAAGCATAAGAATAACCCACAGTTGGGTTAGACTCATTGTTCAGAGGCCTCAATTCCAAATGCGACGAGCACCCACAAACTAGCACAAACAAGTTAAAAGAGGAACACCCACTGTTCAAAAATCAACAGCGCTCAGAAAGAATATTTGCATCTGTGGCAGATCTTGTTTTTTAACATAACAGGTGCTGGGAAATGCTATTTGTAAGGTCTATTTTTAAGTTTCCTGAATTTTTATGGATCAGCAATTTGAGATAATTTTTTTATGAAAGAGCCTTTAGAAAATAAACATTTTTTGCCTGACATAATCCATGTTCTTGTATACTAATACAGCAGCTATAAATGATAAAGAAATGTGTTATAAAAAAATAGTAAATAAATAATTCACATTGATCCCAGACATACTTAAGAGAGATGTGAACATATTTACTGAACACAACCAAATGGCTTTAACTCTATCATACCTCAATTTTAATGATTTACACCCTACTGAAAGCCAGGAGAATATGCTGAATGTCTGTCTGGAACATTATTCAAATACAATTATTATTATAAATAACACAATCACTACTGAAGTATTGTAAAACTTCTTTTATGCCGTTTACTGGTTTGGAATCTCCTTTTCCTTCCTCTCACTTACGATCGGGCTCTGAGAAAGACCATCACATGCATGTTGTGAGTAATAATAATTTAATAATTGCTTACACTTATATACGCTTTTCTGGACACTCTACTCAAAGCACTTTACAGGTAATGGGGTCTCCCCTCCACAACCACCAATGTGCAGCATCCACCTTCTTCGTACTTCTTCGTCAAACTCACACAAGGTAACTCAAGGCCCAGCTAACCACCAAAGCAGGCAATCTTAGCCGTTGCAAAACTCAGAACTGTTTTCCATGTAACACATTTGACAAATACTACAAATACTACTTCCATTGTGAACATGCCACAAGTCAAAGTCAACTGGGCAGACTGGTGGCACTGTGGCTAAGAATCTGTGCCTCTGGCTGGAGGGTTGCTGGTTCAAATCCCACAGCCGGCAGGGGAATCCTACTCCGTTGGGCCCCTCAGCAAGGCCCTTCACCCCTAGCTGCTCCAGGGGCGCCGTATAAATGGCTGACCCTGCGCTCTGACCCCCAGCTTCTCTCCCTGTCTGTGTGTCTCATGGGTTGATGCGAAAAAGACAAATTCCTAGTGCAAGAAAACGGCACATTCTTCCTTCTTCCGCACGCTGAGAAAGAAGACGCTGAGAAAGAAGAAAAAAGCAACTGTACCTTCACTGTCCGGGCTCATGTGTTCAAGCGAGTCCCAGCGGAACAGCGGGTCTGCGGTGTTGTAGTCCACAGTCACGCCGGGGCCGTTCTGCCATAGCTCAGAGCCTGGAACAGGCATGCACACTCACTGACTCCACACGTGATGTCACCACACAAGGACACTGGGCTGAAGCCAGGACAACTCTATGCATCCTCAATTAAAAACTCCGTGGCCCCTCAGATCCATATCTAAAGATATAGTTCTACAGACATCTTCACATTTCCTGAGTCTCCTTTTGTTGTTTGCTTCATGGGTAAACTGTCACAACTTTATGAATTTCTCATTCATATTTTTATTGTTAATCCAATGAAAAAACTGAACATTTTAAGGTAGTTGTATGACATATCAAGATTCTTAAGATACTTCCCTTTAACTATATCATTTTTTAAATTTATTTTACATTACTTTTATTTATTTTTTATTCTTAAGATACTTCCCCTCTACCATATAATTTTTTATTTTTATTTTACTTAAGGCCCCTTTGCCATGTAACATGAGTTCAGCTGCTTTGTGGATAATTAGAAATGTTCATCTTGTCACAATAATTCTGGTCGCCATATCTTGGCGTCTCTTTCTTACTTACTGTTGCCACGTTCCCTTCAGCTCCACTTAGAAAAATGACAGAAAGCTAGCTATCCTTTAACTTTTTTTCTGCAACTCCAGCTTCTTTTTTATTATCATACCCCATTCCCATTTTCTTTTGCATTATCCACTTTCCTTGTTCTTTAGTGCTGATTTTTTCAAAATGATTTATTATAAAATACAATGTATAGGAACATGATGCCTAAAACCTCAGTTCAACTCTGAGGCTAACACAATTAAAAATCTTTTAATTATTCTATTCCTGTTTCCAAACGCACCCCTTGAGCTGTATTTACCCTCTAACAGTGTGGTGGAAAGATTCACGGCGATACTTTAAAGCAGTGCATCACAACCCTGGACCTGCTAACACCTATCTCTCCCACCAAGTACTAAATCACAGGCTCTTACTTCCATTTTATAATCTACAGATCTTTTTTTTTTAATGTTCTTTTCACTTTTAAAAAGCTGAATGAGGTTTGTAATTGCTATGAGCCCAGTGCTGTAAAAAGCAAGTTCCAAGACCGCACTAAACTGGACTAAAGCAGAAGGAAAAACACACTGACTCACTGTGGGAGTGTCAGATACAGTACAATTCCAACCTCTGTCTGTTCATCAGCAATTGATCACCTATTAAAAGCGGTTTAATCAGAAATAAGTGAGTACACTTAGGACTTAGGCATATGGAGAGGAATCTGCATGAAGTTATTACCTCTCTCCTGAAACTGCCTGCACTGTTGATTGATACCATGAGGGTGCCTGTGTTAGGACAGGCGCTCAAATCTGACATCTTCATTCCAAAGTGGTGAGACTGTGATGTGTCTACATTTCCTTCTCTTCCTCAGAATTTTCTTTTCAGACCATAGCTTTCCCTCTCAGTTGCTGCTGGAAGATACAGCTTCAGGGCTCTGTCAGCATTCGCCACTTGATTTATCTTTTTAAGGCAATGCATCACCACCACAAAACTGGCACAAAAACTACTGTAGTTTGACTCAAACAAATGTTCGACATCCCCTTGCTCTGGTATGAAAACACCTTTTGAAGTCATTCATTATTCTATTCACCTACAACTTGCCCAGTGACTAACAGACTGAGCAACTGGTGGAATTTTGCATGACTGAAATAACACAATAGGGGTAAACACAAGAGCTGCCCAAAGGATCTTCCACGACAGAATAAACTAAGTGAGTAGTACCTTGAACCTTCTCCGGACTTCCCGAAAACATCAGTTCAATCTTCCCATAATCTGGGAATCTGTCATCTAGAAAGTCAAAAGAGGTTATTTGATGGTGGTACCGGTAAAAGATACAATGAACAGGCTGCCGGGGGGTAAGTGTGAAAAAATGAGTCCTGTAAGAGTTCAACTGTGTTTAAACAGACAAGGCAAAGTACAGACTATTTAATATACATACTGATTAACAAAAATCTTCTGTCGCTTATGTCACTGTCAGGTTTATCGGACCACATAACCCTCATACACATGGTTAGAAGCTCTCTATTTAAAAACAAAAAGTCTGTAAGCTTTAAAAGAAAAATCCAAATTTAGAAAACTATCCATCTTTACCAGCATTTTAATGCATGAAACTAGTTTGTTGCTTAGGTTTTCTTCACAGAACAGGACAGCGCTTTCCAGCCCCTTGACTCTCTCTGTCTTTGTCGCCTACCTTCACAGGCGACTTCCAGGTCCTCCTTGTCAAACACTAGCCTGTGCCCATGAACAGCGCCCGTGTGAAACTGAAGGCGAAAAACAACCTCTCTTGCCGCGCAGTGCAACCTCTTGTGATAACATTTAATCTGTAACACAGCGGGAGAAATTACTTGGTAGAGTCATATAAGTTCGTGAGCAATATTTTATGACCTCGTCCTACATCTCCTGAAACTTATGAAGATGATTTGATCTGCACACATGTACGATATCAACCAAAGGGCAATCGCCAAAGCTGAATATGTACTATTATGTAAGCAATCAGTAAATCAATGCTTTGTAGGGCAAAAGCATCTTAGATACAGGTTAGTTAGCTCCACAGTTAGTTATTTTAAGAAACATATTAGCATTCTTCCAGTGCTTTAGGAACTTACCATTACATCACCTTTCAGTAGCTGAGCAGGTTCCAGGGCAATACAGATCCTGCTTCTATAACCTGCTCCCACACGACTGGACAGAAATAACATGAAACAGTATTTAGATAAAAAAAAAAAAAAAATAAAAAAAAAAAAAAACAAACAAAATTATAATAAAATAAAAGGCTTACTAAATTCCTGAGGTGTACACTGATTCCATTCCCTGGTAGACTTTCAAAAACGGGTGACAGACTGTAAAATAAGGACAGTATCCTTTTAACTAGAAAAATGTGCTTCGGATTAATTTTTTTTTTACAAAAGTAATGTTTATATAGATACCAGCAAGCAAAAAAATCATCTTTGTATCAGCAGTGTAAATTGTATAATTCTGAAAAAAATTATTCACACACTTTGAGTGCTCTTAATTAGGCTACCAAACACTGGAAGCCTGCAGTAATTACAAGGATTTCTCTTTCCTCACACTTTTCAAGCTTTTCATATTCAGAGACCAGGCAGCATGGCACTTTTATTCTCATGAGGTGTACTGAGACAGACCGGCAATTCAGTCTTAAGAAAAATGATTAAATCTTTCCAAGGCATTTTATGAATAGCGGCTCCACTTCTGAATTCAAACGAGGTAGATTTTACTTTCATGTGTTTGTAAATTGTGTTATTTAATAATTAAATGTCAAAATGATTCTTGTATTATACAATGCTACTCACTCTATGCGTTGAACTGTTCTGACTCTTTCATTAACGTATCCACAGTCCCTTCTGAACATGTAGCACGATTGTGAATTTCTTAGTAAATTTTGCCAGGCAAGTGGTTAATAATCAAGAAAGAAAATACTCCTGAACAAATAAGGATCCGGGATAAATCAAAACGTAGTTACAAATGCAAACTCCAAAATCAATGCCCAATGGCATACTAGTATTGGGTTAAAACAAGCAGCAGACTGTTACATCAAGCAGCATGTTTGAAAATTGCAGGTCCAGGACTTGGATTAGGCCAGTCAAGAGGAAATGTCCTATCCCAGTAAATAATATCCACTCCATCCAACAGGAGCAAATAAAGCACTGGCTTCCATTTGATCCCAGGAGCAGCAACTTTGTGACCATATGACTCATTTCTAATCAGTAAATCGCTCTCTCACCCACTACCTGATGGTCTTCCTGTACAGTTTTGAGTTGGATCATGCTTATAAGAAGCCTTTACCTCCACCAGTGTCAAAACTGGGTACTCCATGAAGAATGACAAAATGCAGAAAGAGGGGTGAAGTGTTCATTTTGATGGACCCAGTCAGAAGACTGTTCAGGAACCACACATACCTGCAATGAAAGTGAAGGTAAAGTGGACTTCCTGGCACCCAGAGAGTAAACTCCTTCCTTTTTCATTGCATACAAGTAGATTGCAGCCTATAGAAATCGAAGAAGTAAAGTCCTTGTGCACTTTGTCCATATATAAGTTAAGCTGTGTTTTTCTTTCCTGTCACTGCTGCAAACCGAGGGGCACACTACTTTTTGCTCTTGTTTTCTTGAGGAGAAAAGAAACTGGCAGCAGATTTAATCACGGGTTCCTCCTAAACCCTTTACAATTTTGAGGTCACGACTCCTAATTTATTAGAAAGGAAGTAATTGAACGGGATACAGAGAAACCTATTAAAATAAAAGATCAAAGCTACAAAAAGATAACTGTTCCATCTCTAAATTATAGAGCTCTAAATATATGAACTAGGGAAAGACAGCCGATGTGACAGCATCATTTAAATCAGGAAAAACAAGCTTTTCTTTAAAGCAGAACTTAGCCAGACAGACGAAAGTGCTTTAAAATGCAGATGTTCAACTCGGAGGTCCTCCTTTAGCTCAACAGAAGTGCCTGACAAGTTTGTTACTGTACCTGGACGGTGTTGTCTTTTTGAAAACGGTAGTCTAATAGAAGGGGATTAGAATGAGTCGCTGCGTAACTGTCCAGGCTATGAAGGATCAAGCAGTAGTTAATCTGATGCTGAAGGCTTCAAAGCTGGAAGGCTCGGTTTTCTAGTCTCTTTCCTTTTACTTCTCATAATTAACACTTACGTGTTCCTTTGTCTAACATAAAGGCAGAAACCCTAATGCTCTGAACTGTTTGGGACTGAGCATCCGGGTCAAGTGGGATAAACACCTCTCGGCTTTAACCTCGGCTGGAAGTTAAAGAATACACAGGGGGGACACCAGTGATACGCATTGAGGCGTATCTCAGATCAGGAAAGATCTTAGATGAGAAGAGGTCATAACTAGTACAATTTCTGTCCCCCTGACATTGTTTCGTGTGGTGAATTTGTTTGAGCCTAAAGAAGGCAATCTACCGCATTTTAAATTCAGCACTCTTTTCATTTTTCATGAAATTTATATGCTGACATTTGCCTTCTTGATGTTCTGATGTTCTGAATTTGATCGGTTGCCACATTTTCTCCTTCAGGAAAAACAAATGTTCTTTTCAGATTGACTGCGAGAAACGGCATGGATTTACCCATACACTTCAGGGGAAGGGACATTTAAATAAGGTAGCTTTCATAATCATTTAAAAAATTATCTCATTTCCGGACGTGTGTAATCTAAATCTGCATCATGGAGTGTTATAAAACTAATATTCCCTCTCTCAGCAAAGCGCGAAAAACGGGACTTACCGTTTCTGAGACGCCGTCATTATGGCGGACACCTTATCATCATAAAACTTCTTCATTGCAAAGCGGTCCAGCGCTTGGTCAGCACTGGAAAAGAAATCGGTATGTATATATGTATCGGTGACATTTCAAACCCATGGCAGCAGGCTTAGGGTGACGTGCCCGAAAATGCACAAACAAGAACAATTTTATTTTTTCAGTTTTGCACAGGCCATGAAAACTGGGACCGCAGTAGCCCCTATCTACAGATGCAGCATTACTTTGACCTGGTTAGATTTCAGGTAGGTTTCGCAATGGCAACTTAGTATGATTTAGAAAGCAAAAGTGCTAAAGTGCTTTACGTGCAGTCACAGCATGTTTTTTTTCTCTACAGGTTTGCCATAGCGACCCAAAGTGGTGTCTTTTCAGTCCAAAGTCTACTTCACCACGTCTGTTGTATTGAAGACCATCTGTCAATAATAAACTTGATTACTCTTGCTTTCTCTTTAATGTATAGTTTGCTTATTTTTATCTTTCTTAAGTAGTGTTAAAGTAGCTACATACGGAAATTCATTTGTTGAATGAAAAAAGTAGAGATACTGTATAAGTAAGTTACCAGTAAACTTTAACAGGATTGTTTTTCCACTTTATAAAACTTATCGGTTAAAGACATCTGTCCAGTAATGTACAGATGTGCTTACAGTAAATGTTTAAATGCATAAATCACAGATAAATCCGAAATAAAAGAATCTGCACAAAAGCAAAGTAACTTTATAATTGTACATATGAAACCTGTCCTTTTGAGTTATTCACTGATCAAACTTAAATTTTCATTTATTCATTAGCATTTGTACATAAATTCTCACATCTGAAATATTGTGGCTATACCTGAAGAGGTAACATATCTCTCAAAAACCCTGTAAAATGAAGGTGTCTTGAGAGAATGAGGAAGAGAAAAATCTTAGTTTTTTTATCAGATTAAACTATATTCCATTCTTTCAACTACTTTACCACCCTTAAACAAATTCATTCAGCAGTATTTTAAATAAGAAAAAAAACAAATTTTATGAGCACACTTTAACATCCTGATGTACACCTGGGATGGAATTACATGGTGTTTTACAATTTTCAACATTGCTTTTAAGTAATTTGGAGTTTGGTAACATGCACTACCCATTAGCGTTCTTAAATATTATTTAAACGTTCCTATTGATACAAATCCACAAATATATATACACATGTGCAAGTACACCATACAGTATATACAAATACACAAATAATAGCATCGTTATCATCTATGTTACCTTGCTGATATGTTGGTGAAGTGTACATATGAGGAAATGACAACTCCAATTCTGCTTTTGCCACCCTGGAGGAATAAAGTAACAAGTTCATCTTCATTTTATTTACTATCAAAAAGCTTTTAAGTTGAGAGATCGCTAGACAGGAGCAGAAACAATTTATTTTGTCTGCAGAGTAGACATTAATAGGTCTCCAGACTTCTGTGATCTCGACTTTGGTGTGTTTTCATGGACTGAATGCTTAAGTGCCTATTCCCCATTATCAACAAGAAAAACTATGTATATTTTTTATATAGACAACCTTTGGTAAAAAAATGAAAGGATTTAGTTTTTTTGCAAATATTGGCATCAAATTGTTATCTCTGAATAACCTCATTATTTTGCTTTATTGTCTCTTTCACCTTATCACTAAAACATGACCCACTTGTGGGTTTCATACAGCATCAATAGGGAACTGTTACTGTCTAAATGAACAAATGTTTTTATAAAGACCAGGCTGCCCACTAACCTAATGCTCAACATAGTCTGTGTCAGGAAATGACCATCAATGTGTTTTGCAGTGAGGAGGACATTCATGAGGATTACATCACCTGCACATACCACACTACTGAAGGCACACTTTTCTACAGTAAAAGTACCAGAATGATTCAGTTGGCAACCGAGAGTCCTGGCTTACTCTGCAGTGGATGACCACCACGTGCTGAGGGTCACTGTTGAGCCAGCTCTCCATGGCCTTGCAGATGGTGCAGATCTTCTCCAACGGAGGGGCATGAAGGTCAGGCCAGCCCGTATCCATGGTCTGGAAAAACAGCAGGTCTCCCAGTTCATAAGGACCAGCGGAGCAGAGCTAATTTCTGCTCTGCCAAGCTCAACACATAGTATCCCACAGCTTAGATCTTTCAATCGGTCCTCTTTAGACACACACGGAGAAATAGAATCAAGCACGATTAAATCCAGATTTGTGCTCTACATCAGCTATTACTCAATTCAAAAACAATGCTTTTATCTGTGTGTGTGTTTTAATTGTATGGGACCAAAACTGTGAAGCAAACTGGCTGATCTGTGGTGGCATTTGATCTGAATAAAAGCTCATACAGGAGCAACACCATATGCCAAGAAGACCCCCAGAGATACTGCACATCCAATAAATGTCAGACTGGTTTTGATTTTGAATTAGCTTCATGTTAGACACATTTGCAAAATTACTATCAAGTCTCAATACTTCAAGAATTAATTCTTGTGTGAAGGAAGCAATTATTAAGACCTAATTTACAATTCATCTAGTTAAAATTTCATACTACTGCGACTAGTGAATATGTAGAATCACAAAAGTAAATTCCTTATTTTTTCCCTTGATTGTCACAAACTGTTTTTAGTCCTTGACCAGGGTACATGTACTGGCCTTGAACATTTTCATTTGGTTTAGCAAATTATAATCTTTATCTTCCAAGGCCAGAGAATCTGGAACTAAAAAATTACAATACAACAAACACTATATTTTTTGTAGCTTTAGCAAGTACTGATCCCAGAAATTCATGATTATATCAGACAAGCAGGCTACCATAAAAAAAAGATAAATCTTGTAGGCAAATACATTTACAAACATAGGCTATTTACATAAGAATTTCACTACAGTGTAGGGGCAGATAAGTCTTTATACAAACACGCACACACATATTAATATGTAGAATGTGAATAACCAGTACTATTGACCCACACCCTGCTAAGTCAAACAGAACCACAAGATCTACTTACTCATGTGCAATTCTAAGAAAAACATACCTTGGGGTTCATTTTGGTGAGTTCATATCTCTTTTCTGAGAGGTTTATAACCTGCATGAAAAAAAGACATTCATAACTCAAAATGTATAATATATTATGATATCTGATTAGGACATTACATCAGATTGTTGTTTTTTGCTTTTTCAATTGCATATATTTACCACTGCCTCCTGATGCTGTTCCATAAGGATTATCTAATAATATAATCCTAGCTTAAAGGATCAATTGAGGCACAAAGAGAACACAAACGTTTATGATTCACACCAAAAATTCATTAAGCATGTGGTTCTTGATATTGTAAATGGTGAACAGGCTGAGTAATTTTGTTTCTTGGTGCAAGAAAATACTAAGCTCAACTCATGTGATCAGGTATTCACAGGGAAGGATGCTCAATGTTTGGTATTTTAAGTTAAAATTGGAAAAATGAGCAGGTTTAGAAGCTGTATAAACAGCAATTCAAAAATACATTTTAATTAACACTAAAAAAGTGAAATAACCATGAACATGTCTTGGCACTGTCTATGACAGAACATGCCTAGAGAATAAGAGGCACAGTTTCAAAAAACATCAGACAAGTCCAGAGAAACCAGGAAAGCAATTCTTTGATGGACAAGTCACATCCCGGAAGGCACACCAACCCAAGACTGTCGCATCTATCTGTACCATCTTTTATCATCAATTTCTGAAGGCCACCACACACAGGAATGTCTGACCTGTGCAGCAGCATGCTTATACTGCAGCTCATGGATGATGGCTAATTGTGAACTACTGTACATCATTGTCTTCTGTGAGCCAAGGAGCATCTGAGACAGAGGCAGCAATGGCAGTATTGCAGCAATGGCAGCAAGGAATACTAGTGTGCCCTCAGTGGACCTGACAAAGGATGTGTGGATGGACATCTTGGTGAGTATTATGCTACCTGCTGGGCACGCCTCTCCCCAGTGGGGCAGAAGAAGTTCAAAGGAAATCAAGAGGAAATTCATGCTGCCTATAGATAGAAATGTTACTACTACTAAATGTTACAATGGAAGTGAACAACTCTTCGTGACATAACCTGCATGCAAAGCAAACACTTTGCCCTGTTGCATCAAATCCAAAAACCTCAGAGGCCAAATTCCATTTACGGATCTAATCACAGGTAAGACTGAAATCGATGCAGCTTCTGATCTCAAAGAAAAATGTGGCACGCACAGAAATGCAATACAAAAATAATTCTTGGAATCGGATTCTGGCATTTCGAACTAGCTACTGTATTTGTCGATAAGGGCCAGCTGCTAGTGTGCTGGTACTGCTGCTGGTCTAAATTACAGGACAATCTCGTTAGGTCTTGCTAACTGTTTTGCAATTCAACGTCCCCATCTGTCAACTTTATTCTGATAATTGTTGATCACATATAAAGTAATTGGGGGTCCAGATGTCAAACGACACTGGAACAGCATTCGTGAACAGGAAGGTAGGAGGTTCTTACTAAATAGTTGTCTGCATGTTTAGATTTGAGCATCCGAGTGACGTCCTGCAGGTTGGAGAGGTAGGTTTCCTCAGAGCAATCCCTGGGAAAGGATACTGCAATGATGCACTCTGTGATGTACGTCAGATCCAGTTCATAGCCTTCCTCCATCCTGGCCTTTGGAACCACTCTCCAGGACACTGAAATGACAGCACAGCATTATGTTGGTAACTTTAGTAGTTTTCATCTCCATTTCATCTGGTGTTGAATGGGGGGCTTCACTGCATCAAGCATTTTCAGCAATGCTCAGAACATTTCAGTAACAATTGAGCACTCAGAACAGTTTTCAACAGCACCCTCGTCCACGAGCTGAAGGATCATCAGGCAAAGAAATGAAGAGGACCACCACCACTGCCACTCATCAGCTGCGAACATGTCAGGAAGCCCAGCAATAAACACCGATTAGGTCCAGCTAAATTCAGAAACGCCTTAAAAAGAACAAAGAATCACGTAGGTGAATGCAACAAATAACAGATGGAAAGGCTTTAGGGAAAGGAGCAAGGAAGATCATCTATTCGAGAATGAGCATCAGTTGTTTTTATGAATTTCAAAAAATAATCACCATCATCAAATGTCATCACTATAAACTGATAAACAAGATTCAAACAAAAAGGTGCTTCTCTAGACATTGTTTTAGTGCTTTTTCTTTAAACAAAAATTATATATTTTGGGTCCTTCGACTGTAATGGGTAGAATCGTTGCTGTGAAAGATGTCCCTGACTATCTTTGCTTTGCAGGTCAATACGGAGCCGCACTCGGACTTGCCAGCTAGCCTTGTTTATAACCACTGCCCTTGTCTGACAGCGTCAGTAATGTATTTCATTACTGACTGATCCAATTACCGATGCCTGAGTGACACCGATGATGCGTACTGAAGTAATACAATTATTCCCAAGACCACTGTTGTACAGTATTTATCATCCAAACATCATTTATTCTAGTGTGTAGCAAAGAATTTTGTTTCAGACTGCAAATCAGCTGTTGTAATTTTCAACAGAAAATGAGTTCCTGTGGAAGATGCTATGGCAGTAGGCAGTTCTGTCTCACAGCTCTAGGTTCTTAGGTTGGACTTTGTCCCTCTGCACCTGTGTTTTCTGCGTGACCTTTTAAATTATTACATTGTTATTAATGTATTATTATTACACATTAGTTCAATTATTATTACAAATGAGTTCACTAAAATTGCATGTAGTTGAATATTCATGTATTTAAATTGATTTAGTTTCATACAGTAGCTTTCAACACAGGCCACTACCAAGTGGAATGAAGCAATTATTCATGAAATGCAGTAGAAAGGTCATCAGTACAGGAAACTAACATTTCTATTACCACATTTAACTTGTTTTGTGTTCTGGGGTATGAAGACTTACTTCTAAGTAAATATGACTAGCAGTGTCCCATTGAGACTAATACCCAGGGCTGAAGATGATTTAAACAGGGGTCTGTAACCCTGGTCCCAGAGAGCCTCGATCCAGTTTGTCTCACAGATCACCCCAGATCAGCTTGTTTTAAGATTGGGATGACTTGTACATTATTGATCAGTTTAGCCAATTCTTTCATCCCTGAGGGAATCAGAATTTCTCCATCTTTCTTGTCTTAAATAATCGCTAAATTACTTCAATCATTCACCTGATTACAGCTCAGGTGTTCCACGTCCTTAGATATCAATGATTTTATGGCTACCAATACAAACCGCTGGACAGGACTCTCCAGGAGCAGGGTTGGAGACTCCTGATGTAACCCTGTTCCCCAGCTCACCCAGTCTGAGGCTTAGTCATTTAGATATAATGCAATTAGAAGACTAAGGTTATGCTCCTTTTACAATTTCCACACTGTACAAGGGCACAGCAGCTGAAAAGATCATCTTGGTCAGATCAGCAGTGTTTCAATACACTGTTACAGGGATTTCTGAATGAAGCACCCAGTAAACCAAAGGGGAAAAACTCTTAAAGTTTTAAAATTCCTCTTAAAGGAATAAAGAAAAAAAGGATACATTTAAGAAAGGAATCAGTTGGATTTATTACACAATATATACATTTAAAAAGTGTTATATTACTACTTAAATAAAACAAAAGATGACCCAAAATTCCTGAATCCTTAATGCCCTTCAACTTTGACAAAAGTTGCTTTCTTGTTCAACATAAATAAAACTGATTTTAAATCTGACATACACACACAATTTTTTTTCCTTTGTTCCTCAAGAGTCTCTACCTAACAAAAAAAAGACAGTGAAAAACTAAAGAGTGATAATCTCTTTCAGAAAGAAAAAGTAGCACTAGTAAACGTGATTTACATTTAATTTGCATTCAGAAAAACAGCTATGAAATAAATATATATACTTACTGATGAATAGTATATACAGGTAACTGAAACAGCAGCCTTGCTCAATTCAGTGCAGGAATGCCTTACGTAATTTCTCGAGCTACGACAACCAGAGGCCTAAAATCTAAACTGGGTCCATTTCATCTAGCAGGAATTGTTCCATTTATAACAATGTTTAAAGTGACCAGCACAATTTCAGTTTTAATGTGTCCGAAAGAACCAGAGCAGTGTAATAGTCAAACTGCCAGATTACTGAAAACATCACGGCAAATAAGCCACCACCTTCGACTCAACCTGAGACCTTAGTTTTGCGCAGACTGCTCAAAACGTCACCAGGAGCTCCTTACTCCCAATAGGCCCTCTGCACTAAGTATTTTTTCTTTAAACAAATGAAGCCCCTTTCGGAGTATTTTACCAGACAGAACAACTACAGAGGTGCCTGAAATCCTGTTTTTCATGCAGACGACCAAGAAAACTAACTTCATATAGAGCAAACTGCGCGCGGACTTGTTTAAGCCTGCATTTTTTATTATCGTTTCTGCTGTTTTCTTATCCTTAAACTCTTGCCTCCCAAAGCCCTCAGTTAAGGGAAGGGGGTAGTTCCTCCTGAAGGCAAGAATGAGCGGTGTCTGGTAAACTGTTCAAAGCCCACACATAGCTCTATAATTCGAGTTGAAAAGGCAGAAAAAAAGAAACTCACAGAATCCATTCAACAAGCTGCAACAAGCCAGTTGGCAGATGCTGAAGATTAAAGCGTCTCAACTTCTAAATGAATCCCCTCCGGGAACATGTTTTTATATAAGCACTGTCAGCAGAGCTAAAATATGCATCAAAAATCATTAATTAAAATAATATTCCCAGGAGGCATCACACCCTTGCTGTGCATCTGGGTTACATAATGTCTCTGAATCTTCCTCCTAACGCAACAGGATCCAGAATGAAATAAAATTTTAAAAAGTAATAAACTAAGCCAAAGTGAGTGGACACATGAGCACAAAACAACAGTTAAACTGCAACATCTGTAAGACAAAACAAATAGTTCAAAACATTTTTTCAGACCATGAAATTGCAAATCGCAATTCCGTGCTGCATTTTGAATATAGAGTATTGTATACCTTCAGGATAAAATTAAGAATGATTGATACACTTCTATCATTTCCAAGTTTGGTGTATATGTAAAGGGTCGAGCCATTTATTATGATTAAACATACAAAAAAAACAGCAGAAAGGCCTGGCTTAATATGGCACACTATATATATATAATACTCCAATTGCCGGAGAGGACTGTAAAATACACATCCAAAGTAGAAGCGAATGTTACAGTTACTACCTTGGAAATGTCTGCTACCTTCACACCCAGTGGGAGGTGCTTTTTAACTTGGATCGGACCCTCAGTGCTCATCACAGGAACGGTCCCAGGGAGGGAGATGAGCATCAATGTGCACAGCAAAGGCAACGATAACAACGAGTAGTGCAGCAACCCGAGAGGCAGCCAGCAGGGGAAACAAGCGGAGCTATCGGCTAGCAGAGAATTGGGAAGCACTGGATGGTGCTTGAATTGACAGGAAGGTGCACAGAACGGGATGTCCAGTTTAACAATTAAAAGGCGAGATAATGGATTCTTAGTTTTAAAAAGAAGTACTTGAAAGTGGCACAGCATGGCACGGATGAAATGTAACCCTATAAAAGTAAAAAGGCGACACACCAGCTGCGAGTGCGCTTTGAAGTTTAATATTTGTAGGATTAATGCTTCCTGGCTTTCAAAACTCCTTCAAGCAGTTTTCTGATAATTTATCCATTTTTTTTTCTAGCCCGCTAGAAAGGGGACACATCCCCTTCTTGGATCTGGGTAGGCTGGGTTCATTTTCACAAACACCCACGCTCAGCATCTTCCCATCTGACAGGAGTGCAGCTTCCTCTAACAACTGCGTCCAAAACTGCTCTCCTCTTGGAAATGCCATGCGGGGACGCTGCCAGATCATTACCACAGGTGTATTATTTTTTTAATTCAAAAAATGCTATTCATCCAAATCATGAACAAAACCAAAGACCGGAGATGAACTTTTTTTTTTATGAAATGCTTAAACAAAAGTACAAAAGCCAATACTTCAGAGACTGTAATGTGACCTTAAAAATACAGGAAGATGGACAAAGCAACTTTGCACACGCAAAACTGCAAAAGGAACTTACGACATCTGGATTTGTGGAAAATTGTGTAAATCCAAGCAAAGATATATTTAGCAAGTTCAACACAGCAGAACATTCAAAAGTGTGTATGTATGCAATCTAGGGTTTTACAGGCCTTCTTCCTGTAAATCTAGTCTTTCACATGATTTAAACATGCATGCAAAGGCAGATGAAAACAGCATGTTTTCAAATTAAAAATGATGACCTATGGCCTCTAAGAAACATGTATCCACCTAAAGCTGTTTTACTCATTCAGAAAGACAATGTTTATATTGTTATTCAAGCGAAGCTTTTCTAGAGGAGAACCCTTTTTTAAAAAACATTGGAGAAAGCATAGCCTTATTAACTGGAGTGTTGTTTTCCTAGGTTTATTTTATCTGTTACTGTGTGCACATTTCACCTATGAATCATTAACAGAGCAGATGGCTCAAATGTGAAAATAAAGAACGGAGCTCAGATTCTTCTGCTGATGCGATGCATTATTTATTCTACGCATCAAAATCTGCCAATATACTGACCACCTTTAACTATAATAAGACACACAAATGAATCCTGAGAGTTGCCGGTGTACAGTGTATGAACTAAAAGTACAACCCATTTAAAAAATCAAGGTACAGTATAGGTCTTTTACTGGAAATCATGCCAAATCTGAAGGAATAAATTTTGTGAAAACTACAGTTATGTCATCCTGTTCAGGAAACTTCAGGCTATATAAAACCATATCATTTATCTGAATTACCTACTTAGCGAAACCCTGATCCATTCAGTTCTCAAAGACTTGCCAGTGGGCAATGGAGCAGCAGTTCAGAAGGTCTTCAATCATGAGTCGTGTCAAGAGGTAACAGTGACTAATGAAGCACTGGGATACCCCAGATGCTGTAGTCCTGTAAGATATTCTTCAGCCACGTGAACATGTGCTTCACACCGAAAGCATGTGGTAAGGGCTTGAAAGACCGATGCACACTTAAGTTCAGGACATCAGTGAGGTAGGCCGGTCCGTTAACACGTTCTCAAAAGGCAAGAAGAGATGTAGGATACAGCGCTTGTCACCACCACACCCTCCACCCCATCATCCTGGGCCTGGTAACTGAAGACGGAATCTGTAGGTTTGTCTTCATACAGTATCGGGGAGAAGGTATAATGTTTTGTCTCACAAGCCAGAAGTCTAGATGCTAGCTAGTACTTGCCATTCTTATAAGCCTTCCTCGGTCATTTTAGAGTCATTTTAAGCTTGACGCGTAACCATCCTGCGAATGGACAAAACCAAAATTTTGAAACTGACTTTTTGCTAAGCGAAGGCCCTGCAGGAACCTGAACGAGCAGCCGTTGAGACCTTCCGATCTCCGTCAGGGAAATCTTAACAGCGCAATAATGGAAATTCATGATTACTGATTCCATGATTTATGGAATATCTGGAAGAAACAGAAATGAGTTGATTGATGAAACACTTAAGTCTTGTGAGTATATACTGTACAAACTATGCCTTTCTTTGCATCTGTTACATCTACATGCAACTTAAAAATAGTTATTAAGGGAACAGAAAATAATTAATGTGCTGTCAGTGTATTTTGAAGGAAGTGTCACATGTGGCAATTCCAGTGTCACTTTAAGAAAGAATAACTGAATGGAAAGTTAAATAATTTGCTTTTTAGAAAGTGACCTTCTTTATTCCACCCAGGTTTGCGCGATATTTTCTCAAGTCAAAATTAACAGGAATATCGGATTATTAAAACATTTACTCATTAAGCAGTACAAAACACTGGGCTGAGCTCAGTTCATTTCAATGCATTCATTTAGTATACCAACGGACAACTGCTGGTTTCTCTGTCATCAACATTTACTGTTTCATGCCAATGATGTTTTTTTTATTGGTTTTACAAGTGGGTGCCAATCATAGATGGGAAACTACCGTTGTATAATTAATTATTGTATAAAATAAATGTTTCCACCCTTCAATTAAACCTAATAAACTGAAGAAAAAACTCTTATTCAAATACCCCTTATCAAGGTTGCTACACTCCACTGTTCAACAGAAACTGATTATCTCCACCATGAGCATGCGTAAACAGAAGTAAAACTGGGTGAGTCCCCCAACATCACCACATATAAGATGTGTGTCGTAATAGCTTTAAAATAACGTGACCAAACTGTTTATTTTCAGATGGGGTTTTATGCATTATGAAAGGAATGAAACACCCATTCTAACTGCCCACAAAAAGAACTGCAGAATAAAACTAAAAAGCAGAGGAAATTTGTTTTCCTCTTACAAAATACAGTTTAAAAACACACTGATGCAGATTTGTCACTGGTCTAACAACACTTCAGAAAAAAGCGTGCATCCGCGTGCAAGTAAAATACAATTTAAAACATTTTCCCCAACGAGTCCAAAAAGAAATGGGAACCTAAACTGAAAGAGCTGCCAAACAAGCAATACCTAATTATCAGCCTCTTTCCCAAAGGTTAGAGGAATGCGTTCCAAAATGGATTAGGATTTTTTTTCTCTTGCTTTCCTGCAAACTCCCAGTTTAATAGATTACACATGTCGACTGTGGCTGGTAGTCAGGAGCACATACAGATTTCTGTACCAGCCACCATGCTGTTCTTGCTGCTCCCTTTAATTCCACTAAGAGGTTAACGGGATGTCAGGTAGAGTTGAGTTCTACCTCACCGTTCACACCTGTTTGCCTTGCTATCAGTGCTCGATTAATCACTTACTTTCCAGGACAAACAGTTTATTACCCCGGTTCCCTTATCACAACATAAAAAAGACCCTCAGGTAAAAGAGATAATCACAGGCTGTTACTGCAGAAAGGAAGAAAAAGTAAAAAAAAAACAGGGATGTAGGGTAATGGAACTTCTTACATGTCATTAACAATGGCTGTCTACAGCAAAGCCTCTAGGCTACAAAATACCAGCTGTAGCACTAGGTGCCAAACTGCCTCCTTGACTGATGCAGTTTTGTTTTCTTGTTTCTGAAACCAAACCAAAACTACAGCCGGGCACTAAAACACTCATGTAAAATACACCCAATCATACTTTAGAGTATAAACTCTTTTCCCAGCTTCTTTTGCAGGTTCATTCTTTTTCTCTTCTGAGAGCCAAAGGAAATCAAGTGTGCATGAAGCACTTTTTGTGTTTCCATGAGCAGCTTAAATATTTCCACATCACCTCTTCAGAGCTCTTAATAAGATGAGCTTCACTGGGGACAGGGGGAGAGGGGTGGTGCTGAAACGGCAGGGGAAAACTACTTCATAACTCTGCTCCATTCGATACAAAACATGAAAGGGACACACAGGCACACCACCGAACTAGAAGATAGAGCTCTGCTTACCTTTAACGGCGGATTCAATGTGCTTTTGATCCCTCAGGCATAACAGAGCAACAAAACAAGAAGCTGACAAGCAGAAACGCAGAAACTTGGGGAAAGCTCTAGATCATCTCTGTCCCAGTGTTCCCTCTTCTGAGATCGGAGTCGCTCACAAATTCAGTATGTACTTTGCCCCTCTGCTGCTACTTTGGAGGTTAGCTAAATGAAAACCCTACTGCAGCTCAGCCCCCAACACTTCCTTAGTGCTCGAGCTGCAGTTCCTGGCTGAAACAGTCCTCCCTCTGCGCTTGTTCCATGATCCCTCCCTCTGCTGAGAGCAGCCTCATTAACACTGAGAGATCAGGAGGGCTGGAAAACGAGAAGGCTCTACTGGCACATGCATGGAGGTGGTTTAAAAACTACATCACTAGATGTCCGTTAGGGAATCACATGAACAGCCACCAAAAATAAAAAACAAAATAATAAAATATGCTGATTTCTTTTGTGCAAAGGCTTAAAAAAGGAAAGGTAATAGTTTACAACACTGTACTAATGCAGTCAAAAAATTCGTTTTTGATTTTAAAAAAGCTTCAGAGAATCACGGTATTCAAGTTAATCACCTTTTCATCTTTAAAAATAGCAGGTGAACTTACTTCAGATCTTTAAACAGATAGGAACAGAATCAAGACCAGTAAGCACTTCAGAGGAACGTAACAAAGTGATCATCCAGGGCCAAGAGTAAAAATAACTTATACAACGACAAACAACAAAAAACAATGTTGCAAGACAATCTAACAGAGGTATCTGGTTCTATCATTTATGTTTCTTGAGCAATCAAAATACATTTTAATATAGAGTGAACATAATATAGAGATTTAACATAGAGTGAACGTCTTAATTATGGTGTTCCACTAATTTTGTATTTTGTAAATAAACTGATATATTTTGATTTCTATAATGAAAGAAAGAACAAAACTTGGAGTTAGGGTTGTTTAAGATCAAGTCCTTATTTGCAGTTTAATTTTCTTGTTTTGTTAGCACCACAGGCTGAAGTCTGAAAAGGAGTGGAAAAGTGTCAGAACTATTCCTTTTTCCACTTAAAACAGTGGGTCTCTTCAAAACCCAACATCTATATTCTTTTTATCTATTTTAATGTTTTAATTGGGCTTGGTATAGTTACCGTAAAATGCAGACTTTTGGATGTTTTATTTGATTGGTATCTTTTAGCACAGATAAATAACAGTAAAAGTCATTTTTTTTTCATATTGGGTAGCAGATAGCACCCCAGGTCTGGAAGTGAACCCAGGAACCCAGTGACCACTGCAACACCACGAGGCCAGCAATCCACAGAAAGATTATAAATCAGCCCTGACCTGATGACCTCCTTAGTGAGGACACGCTTTTTTTCTCCTCTGCCAGCAATCCTACTTCTCTATACTCACAAGTATAACAGCAGTAGTAATTATGAGTAAGGTACTCTAAGGTTTGGCAACTCCATGTGGAAGCCCATCCCAGCTTCAACCAAGCTTGTCTTTTTATCTTTTTACCACATTCATACCAATCTTTCACACCTTGTCCACAACAGTTCAAAGTAAGCTATACATCAGTTTACGAACCAAATCTAAGTGACTGACTGGCCAGTGTTCCTCTTCATTAAAATAATTTGTTCCTCTCTACCTAACAATGATGCTGAAACGTTTTGTATTACAGTATGTGATACAGTCTATCAGCATAATGTAGTATGTTAAAAGTATTTTGTAGAAGAATGGTCAGTACAAGACCTGGGTTTCTAATGGAAAGATAAGAACAATGCAAAATGTCTTCCGAGTGCAAATAAATATCCAAATTACTTATTTGTATGGTAACCAAAAGATGCCTCAATCCCTTCAAATTATGCATGTTTCAAAAAATGTACTTTTCAATAAGTTTAAGGTCAATGGTATCTGACAAATTATTTTTAAATCAGAAAAAATTGTGATTCCCTTAAAGTAGCAAGTACAGTACCTCACTTTATGAGCTACTAGTGCTTTTTCCATTAACCAGGTCATTCTGCGGTTTCTTTAGTTGCACCATTGCCATCTTGTTGTCGCTGACTATTGCTGTGCTCCTCAGCCTCAATCATTTTTTGTTGCTTTAATGATTTTTGCCCCAATACTTTTATACTTTTCTCAAAGGAAGAATTTAAATTTGAGGTATTTCTCAATCCACAAATGGAAAGGATAAAAAAATACTTTCTCTGCGGTTTCTCTCATTTTTTTTGACCGCCCAAATATTTTGTGGTTGCACAGCTTGATGTTGAAGATCTGCTCTAGAAACTGACGAGATACACACCTGTCCAGCATGATGGCGATTGATTACATTGTTCTAATTCCGGGAGGCTGTACTAGAGAGGCGTGTGCGTTTTCATCTGAGAAATGACTGTGTGGCGGAACTACGGTGAACTATGAGGCTTTAGGAGTACCAGAAAGGAGGATCTGAGTGATGCACTCTCAGATTCCCTCCCATCTCCCTCCTTTCTGAACCAAGTGTTCTCCCAGTGCTGCCTGTCTGGCGACAGTAATCTCGTGGTGACAGTGCCATCCCGCTAATTTCACCCATGAACACTCAGGCTGAGGCACAAGTCTCGGTTTGTTATATTATAATGTTTAGAAGATCACATAAGGCCAATTAGCCCATCTAGGCCCATCTGTTACTTAACTGATCTCAGCTGTTTCGTCAAGGAAGCCAGGCTATTGGCTTGAACAACATGGCTGGGCAGCTTGTTCCACACTCCCACAACCCTTTGGATAAAGAAATGCCTGATATTCTTCAATTTAAAATGCACTTCCACTTATTTACCACTTACACGTTTCTGGAACATGGTTCATTTTTTACAGTTCGTTTTGAAGAAATCAGCTGAATTGATTTTGTCACTGCAGGAGGTCCTTTTTTGTCGGAGGATTGCAAATAACTTGTATGAGATCCCCTCATAGTCTTCTCTGTCCAAGACTAAAAAGGTTTAGTTCCTTCAGGCTTTCAGTGTAGGACGTTTGCTCAACCCTGAAATGTATCTGTTCCTCCAGACTCATTCCAGAGTCTGTACGTCATTCCATAATATGGTGCCAGAATTATACACAAAATTCTTAATGAGGCCTTTCTAGTGCATTAAACAATTTTAATATACCATCCCTTCATCTAAATTATATGCTTTTAAACTGTGCATCCTAACATTTTGTTTGCATTTTTAATTGCTCGTGTGGAACATGTAAACGATGTGTCAACATAAACACCCAAGTCTTTTTCATAAGCAAGGCCTTCATCAGTTTCAGGTTTGTCGACCTTGAAGCGCCACCAGATATAAGAGGAATAGACATTATAAACTTTATGTAAAGATATAACCCATTCCTAAGTGATTTATAACAGCAGCTTTTGTTAGATAGTAACTGCCATTATTTCAATTACTAAATGTAAATGAGAATGCATTAGTTTACTTGTACAACTACACATGTAAACAGACAATATTAATCATAGCTTATTGGGTGTATGACATGTATAGAATTTGGGTTATAAACAAGGACGTATGACAGGGAAGCTAACAGAATGTCTCCAGTTAAAACTCCAATCTGCACTTGCTTCAGAAACCATTCTATCTCAGTTATCAAATTAATAATTCCCAAATATACTAAAGATCCTAAGGTTACATCCACAATAAAAGTATAACTATACATAACACGTATTGATGCATATTAGGGAGTGTCCGTTGTAAACAAACATCTTATTGCAGGCCTTAAACTTAAAATATTATACAAGCAAATCAAACTAAAAATGAAAACAGCCATCTTAAATGGGATAAGCGGCCCACGGCGTGTAACCAGGCAGTCAAAAAGCTTAAAAGACAGAGTCTTTCAGGAGACTGTACGAGCTTTTTTATGCATTCGCGTCTGTTTTCGTGCTAAAATACACCGGCTGTAATCACGTTTACGTTATAAACCAATTCCCTTCATTTACTGAAATATTTAAAAACCTTTACCTACCTTTTGGACATGAGCTTATGCGCGTTGCATGCTAACAATAATAATTACTGACACGTACCTGAATGAAAAACATAAACGCGTAAGTCGCCGATTTAGATTCTATATACGTTGGGGTTTCATGTTGATGCTAGCCAGAAAAAAACTTGAAACAAAATATATACACACGAACAATGCTTAATGCGCGTGTTGCGGCACGTCTCGATATTATCTACGAAGACGTCACCTGTCAAACAACAACATGAAGTTTAACAATCTCCACTTTTTATCTCTTTTTACAGTGCCAATCCAAGATAGGTCTTAAATGTGCGTTCTGCAGTCTTATGTGAGCATCAGCTACTGTACCAAGCAACAGTCAGCAGTGTACAGAGATATGCATACTTAAGTTAAAGTTTAACTTAATCTGAACCGGTTGTAATAAACAAAAATACGCACAATACCGTGCGTGGAGGTCAGCATTAGAATTACCATTGTTACTTCTCATTTGTCTGTTAACAATGCGCATAATAATTTTTTAAAGAAGTGGGTACAATTTAAAGAAAACAGGTTTTTGTAAATTAACTATGCATCAAAAAACGCAAAATGAAAGATTGTTTATGCCTGTTTCACTCGGGAACGGACCACACACCTGGCATGAGAACTGGGTGAGATTTTCTGATAGTCCGCACCTCTCTCATGAATAGAAAAAAAAATCAAATTTCGCCGCATTAGAAGGCATACTTTCCTAACAAGGTCTGGCTCTTTAAAGAGTCGTGTATGGGTTGCCTCTGATATGAGTGCTTTGAATTTCGCTGCAAATATCAAATGTTTCGGACCAGAAACTTTCCGTCAGATTCGACTTGTTTCTCACTGGCTGGTCCGTCAGAGGCAGCCGAAGCTTGTGAGATTTCATTTAAGGAATAACTTCTTATTCATATTTAATGGATGTGGGCGGAGTCCACAATTTTTCGCAAGAGATGACTCGCCCTTAATGCCGAAAAGGGTCCCGGTGCACTACAGGGAGTCAGTTCACCTTCCGCGGAGTCGATCGGCGGTTCCATCCTGGAGAGCAGCATGAAGTGCAAGGCTATTATTCCTCAGTAGGTGGCACAGCTCATAGGCTGACACCCTCTAAGAGTATCATCATTATTAGTAACAGATAAGTCATTAGTAACTACTGAGGAGTAACAGTATCTTTAGTAATTGAGAGAGAGTAATACTGTATTGCCATTACAATATTGCTTTTGGTATGATTGCGCATCCATTATTGGCCTCTCTGACTCTCGAGGCATTTAATAATAAATTCTTACTTTTCTGGACTCTCCACTCAAAGTGCTTTACAGGTAATGGGGACTCCCCTCCGCCACCACCACCAGTGTGCAGCCCCACCTGGAGGATGGGATGGCAGCCAGCCATAGTGGACACGGTCCATTTCAGCACACACCAGCTCTCACGGGGGAGGAGAGCAGAGTGATGAAGCCAGTTCATCGATGGGGATTAATAGGAGGCCATGACTGGTAAAGGCCAGGGGGTGATTTGGCTGTTAGTGGGGTCATAGCCCTCGCATGTGAGAAACATTTGCACTGTAACAGGGGCTCATAAGTGCAGTTCATTCACATGCTATTCCTCTTATCCTAGTTACCAGCTCCAGTCGCTCCCTCTTGGCTGGTCCCATCTGTAGGAAAGCACTCATGAGCCCCAAATATAGTTTGCAGCAGCTAAATGTCGGGACTCGCCGCCCCATCGTTTGGCTATGTTATCAGATGTATTATGTTTTCCTCCTCACGGTATTTTATAAATCACGTTTTCAGGCTTTAAAACATTCCGATCGAATTAACTCAAAGAAACGCCACCACAGCAACAAGAGTGTTTCCCAACACGCGAGGTACAATGGTTGAATGAAGGACAGGTCTGCAGTGCGGACACAGTTCAGGGCAGCGCTGAAGCAGATGTCCACCTAGAGAGCATGTCTGCTTGCAGCTTCACTTCATGTGTGAATATATACGCAAATAATAACACTGAAAACACTGAACAGTTATTCTATAAAAAGGTTTATTACCAAGCGCACATTGAAAGATATTAGTCATGTTTATTTGTGCAGCATTTCATTCTTTGGAGGGGGGTTTGCATACAGATCACAGTGGAAAACGTCAAGAGTACAAAGATGTTTTTCAAAACCTGATTCCGTCTCCATAATGGAGGGAAAAAATTAAAGTTGAGTACAGATGGTTATTTGCTTCGCCGTTTCGTGAATGCATTTATGCATTTTACAAAATGAAAAAAAAAACTAATACAAAAGGAACTGGTCACAGGACTGCTGTTTCTAGGCAGTAACAGAATACACTGAAAAATCTCACCTCTATGCAGCTTCGTGCCTGTCTCATTACGGCCGAATTCAACTTACGCATCATGAATGCATTGGTAAGCAATGAATTGCAAAATTAATATTGGGATGTAATGCTCACAATTCCTAAAGTACAGCTGAAGAACACTTAAAAGAGAGCCTAAAATCTAGAGCCACAGCATGGTGGTGCAAGCCCTTTCAGATTCCACAGTGCAAACGATAATTTTATATCTGCTACCTTATTGTGATTAAAACGGCTAAGACGAACACGCACAGTTGAGCCACTTTAGGTTGCAGACCCTGGACATTTCTGTGGAACAGGGGTATCATTTTCAAAAATTCATTATTGGCTTTTCTACGAAGAAGAAACTTAAGGAATTAGTGAGGACATTGTGAAGAGAAGAATAAAAAATCCACACAGTTCCTAAAGAAAATCAGATATTTTTAGTACATGACCGAGTAAAACCAAAAAAAAAAAAAAATCTGTCAGAACATATACCAGGCAGATGAAAAATAAGGAAACAAAACTAGCTGCAAAAAATAATCCCTTGCCCTGTATAACTAAGTATTGTAGCTAAATACCAAACAGCTGCTAAATGCCTAATATTGTGTATATCTATTCCACAGCCACTCCCCTTTAAAACTTGAACTTGGTCTCCTCTACGTTTTGAGAAACGTAACAAATCTCAGATCCCCCCATTGTATTATGAGAGAGAGCTGGAGCTAAAAGTGGAGGAGGTGTAGTTGAAAGTAAAGTTTGAAGACATATCTACGCTGCCTCGTCTTGAGCCGCTCCTGGACCCGGAGCGGGACCCCGGCGCAGATGAAACGTTGTAGGGGCTGCTGATTCCTTCAGAGGACATGGAGGACGCTTGCAGCAATTTCATCCCGGTGTTTTCCTCCACCATGCAATTTTCCATGGCCTCCTTGTATGAAATCTTTAGCTTGGTTTTAGGACACGTCAAACTCTTGGCATAGCGCTTGGCATCTTGGAGTTTCTGAGCTCCTCTTCCATCCAGCCAGCCTTTTCTGATGGCTTCTTCAATACTTCTCCTTTGAGTGGTACCGGGTTCCATCAGGCCTCCTGTGACATACTGATACTCAAGGAACCTCTGCCCAGCTTCATACGGTAACCACTTCTCCTTAATTGCTTGCGCCGCCGACATCTGACGCTTGGTTTTCACATCTTCAAAGCCTACAAATGCTTTATAAGCTGGCTTCAGCCTCACAGCCATGTCCTGGTCAATGATGCCCTGTCTTACCGCATCATCCAACGTGAGCCGAAGACCATTTGAGGGATTTATGATGCCTCCAGTACAGGCCTGAGCCTCCAACAGCCGCTGCCCCGTGATAGAGTCCACAAGCCCCCGTCGTACCGCTTCGGTTATGGTTATTTTTTCGATGGTTTCGGTGTCAAATATAGCTGCGATCGGACTTTGATCTTCTAACAGATCGGAGGGGGGCGAAAGACTTATCGAGACGCCAGACCAAAGTTTTCTTGGGGTAGCTGGTGACCCAGGTTTAAGTAATGTGGGGCTCCTGCTGGTAAATTCAAGACTAGAAGAACTGACCAAGACTTCCCCGGTGCTCTTGGTGGTCAACATGTCTGCAAACTGCGTAAGGGTCAGGGACCCCGAGCGATATTTCTCCAATGCCGATTTGTCAATGACACCCTTATCTACAGAATCCTGAATGTCGTACTGCTGGCCGGTTTTCCGATCAACAATTACTACTCTTGACGTGCCGTCGGATGAAGTGATAGTTATCTCTTCCCACTCGCATTCCTGCTCGGAGAGCTCCAAGAATGTGTCATAGTCAATCAGGTTCCGGTGAAAAGCTTCACGTACTGTCATTTCCTTGTCAGTGTCAGGATCAACAATCACCACTCTGCGCTTGCGCAGGGTGTTCTTCTGAGTCAACTGCTGTTGTTTCTTCTTATCTCTCAGTGGAAGTAGGGTGAGACCAGTCTGTTTATCCTTAATGCACCGGTCTTTAAGCTGCAGATATGTTAGATTTTCTTCAGTGTTTGGGTCAAAGAAACCTTTGGTGTCATCCCCTTCATAAGACAAGATATCGTTCATTTCTTTATCGAAATACCCACGTTTGTAGGCAACATCAACGTCTATGCGGTGACTGTGTTCGGGGTCAATTATACCACCACTTGCAATCTGAGCTTCCAGCAACCTGATGCCATGTCCTTTCTCAATTAGTTCCTTTTCTATGGCTTGAAACAATGAAATGATTTTCCCCGTTGATGGGTCTTTGTATCCGGTGACAGCCCTTTCAGCAGCCATGAGTTTGTCCTTAAACTCTCTGCCAATTATGCATCTCTTATAAGCCTCTTCCACTGTCAAGCAAACATTATTAACAGGATCCACCATGAACCCTGATGCTGCTTGGGCTTCCAGAAGTTCCAGAGTGGTGCCAGGTCTAAGCAGCCCTTCTTTCATTGCTTGATAGATGGAGAGTGTTCTGTCATTGGCTTCATCATAAATTCCAGCAATACAGCTTGAGCCACGCAAGTAAGACTTTAGTTTGTCTTCAATATCTTGTTTGGAGAGTTGTCCTGCAGCCAATTTTTCTGCATCCGACTTCTGTAAAAGGTTTGAATCTACCAGCTCTTTAATGGGAACTTCTCCTCTGAGTCCTGAAACGGTCATGTCTTGCTGAGGCTTCAAGTGAAGGAGCAGCAAACCAGTGTGAGGCTCGGCTTTGCTCAATTTTTTCAACTGAATGTAACTGACATTTTCCTTCGTTGCAGGGTCTATGTAACTGGTTGGTTTCTTATTGAGAGATCTGTAGAGATCCTCATCAATTAACCCCCGATCAAGGGCCGCATCTTTCGGAAGGAACACGCTGAGGACAGGATCGACTATACCTCCGGCAGACTCCTGCGCCTCCAACAAACGGATTGCCGTTGTTCTGTCGACCTGTCCCTTTTTCATTGCTTGACCGACGGACAGAAGCTTGCCCGTGTACGGATCCTTGAAGCCAGCGCTAGCCGCTTCGGCTGTGAGCAGCGCGTCTCTATCCTTTCCATCTACTAGGCCCCTGGTACAGGCAACATCCACTGGAAGCCTTTCGCTTGTTTTGGGATCGATAACGTGCCCCGTGGCTGCTTGCGCTTCTAATAGCATCACAGCACTTTCCGGAGAGATCAAGTTCTTCTTCTTGGCGTCCGTGATGGACAGCTTCCCCTGCGATTCGGCCACCACGCCCGCTATGACCCCTGTTCCTTTTAAATTGAGCTGGATGTCTAGGGCCACTTCATCTACTGTCTTCTGTCCCTTGAGAAGCTTATCCAGAGTAAGCTTATCAATAATCCCACAATCGTACAACTGATTAGCCGTGACCTTTCTACGCAACCCGTCAAACACAAGTTTGGAAGAATCTACCGTGACCACGTTCGTGTCCGTCTGGGTTTCTTTGCTGTAAGCGTAGGGACGCTGGTTGAGTTTTCTAAGCTCCCTCTCCATGCTTTCTTTTGTGGATTCCAACTCTGACATTTCCCTTTCCGTGCTTTTCAAACGATTTTTATATCTTTCCTCCATCAGTTTTAATTCCGCTACAAGCCTTTCAACTTCGTTTTTCAGCGAGTTTCTCTCTCTCTCAAGCTTATCTTTCTCTGTCTCACCCTTCCTGGCTAAGTCCTCTTTCAGCTCATACTGGCTTTTCCAGTAATTGAAATCATTCCGAATCTGCTGATTTTCATCTTGAAGGCGTTGCTTCATGCGAATTTCAGATTCGAGGGAAACCCTGATGCGGCTGAGTTCGTCTTCATATTTCTGCATTCTAGCTTTGTCCTGCTCCAGTAGCTTGATCTTCAGTATAAGACTGTCCTTCTCCTGCAAAAGCTCATTGTACTGAGTCTGAGATGCATGAACCAAGGAGGAGGTCTGCAAAACAAGAAAACAAGGTAATAAGAAAAGCAGTGTACTTTAGCAATGTACCTCGTGAAACTGTAGAATATGATTTAGGAATACCTGACAAGATGTACAGATCTTGTAATCATCAGAATACAACATGTTGTCCCTCTTTTACGTACTTGTCTTTTCTATACACATTTTAGGGAATGTCATTACCAGATAAAGCACTTAGGTTTTAAGAGCTCTTCAGGGAAAGAGCACAACTTTAGTCCGAAAAAGGTAGGAATCCAATAGGTTTTCTAAGTCTCTTTAAAAAAAATAATCAACAGTTGAAGACCTCTGAAAAGCGTTCCGACTGGTCCGAGTAAGTTAAACATGAGCTTGATGAGTACATTTATTAGAGCAGAGACCTCTGAAATTCGTACAGACCCTACAGCTCTCTAGAAATGGAACTGGCCACCACTGCCTTTGCCTACTACTATGGAAAATGATAATGAAACAGCCTGAAAAGGTCGTATTCAGAGAATCACTCTTGTGGTAAGCTGTTGTTCTATTGAAAATGTATATTCAATAAACAAACTATACACATGTACAAAAGCCTAAAGCATCAAAGCCAAGTATTCCATCACAGACTTCTTTTCCATGTTTTTCAAAAAAGCATTATAACAATCATCATAAAATCGGTGAACTATATGAGGACATTCACTACATTTACCACTTTTCTACAAATGCCATCCACTCTCCTCATTTAAAAAAAATCATTCATTTTGATACTTGCTTTTCCTAAACTAAATTTATCAATGGTTCCAAAAGTGTCTAAATCAGATCAGGCATATTAGGTGGAAATATAATAAATTATAGATAAGTATTGCTGAAGCATGATTTGTTTGAAGAAGAGAATGAACAGAATATGCTTATGAGTTTTTGGGATGTTCAGGGATTCTGTAGTTAATTTCACATACACTGCTTCTTATAACGGATTAATACACTAACTCATTAAATACATTACACTGGATCATTCATATTTATTGTGTATAACTAGTTTTCATTTTTTAGGCAGTCTAATCTTCCAAAGCTTGTAATCACACAGGAATGGAGATGAATTTAATGTATTTGCTGAAAAAAATCGATGAAGCTCACAGTGATAAACAAACATCAGATACTAGCTGCTGTAATAGGTAAATCAAAAAAGGAAAGCAAAGTAGAGCCATGCATGCAAACCCAAAATCCAAAACATGGAAACTAGCTTTTTGCATGGATAACAAAAAAATCCGATGACAAGTTAAAGACTTTTTAAATGAGAAAATAGTTATAGGAGTACCTCAGTTGTTTGTTTTTGGAATTTTTCAATTTCCAGTTTCAACTTTTCCCTTTCCTTGGACAACTCATTAACAAGTGTCTGATGCTCGAGTGATCGTTTGGTGCTGTCTTGCAGCTGACGTTGCAGGAACGAGATCTGAGAAAGGGTTTCGCTTTCACCATCGTCTTTGCTCTTTTTCAGCTCGTCCCTCTCCTGCTTCAGCCACCTCGACTCTTCCTCTAACCTCAGACGCTCTTTGGTCAGGTTCTCAGTGAGGTTTTGCAGCCTCTCTATTTCAGACTTGTTCTCATTGATAATCTTACTCTTTTCCTCAATGGTTCTGTACAGCTGCTCGTTTCTGAGATTTGCTTCTTTGACGTTTGCCTGCTCCTGAAGGAGTTTGTTCTGCAGGGTTTTCAGGTCAGCATTCAGCTTATCAGTAACAAGTTTATGCTCTTTCAGGCTCTGGTTTAGGGAGTCTTGCTGGCTTTGCAGTTCTTGTTGAGATGTTTTACTTATTATGGAAATGTGCTCCTGCTGCTCTCTGAGTTCTTTGATTGTATTCAGATGTCCTTTGCAGGACTGGCTCATCTTAGCTACTTCTGCTTCTAAACCTATTCTCTTTGCAGACTCTTCCCTTGCTACCCTCTTCTGATCATCCACTTCAACTTCCAGCCTGTCAACCATCTCCTGAAAGTCTTTAATCCTGTTCTGGAGTCTGACAACTTCTTGTTCTGCTTTCTTCTTGTCCCTCGTCTGCCTTTCCAGTTCTATTTTGACCACACTGATCTCCTGCTCTGTTGACTTCAGCCTGTTTATGACCTCCGTAGAAGACTCGTGTTTTTTCTGCAGACTGATCTGAGTTTGTCTGAGAGAAGTGTTTTCTGTTTCCAGGGCTTTTCTTTTTCGTGCTTCCTCTTCCAGGTTCTGCCTGAGCTCACTGATTTGCTTGCTTTTGTCCTGGATTGCTTTGGATGCATCCTCAAGGGCCTCTTTGTGCCTCTGGCCTTCTTCACTCCGCTGCCTGATGATGGTCTGTAACTCAATCTCGACCTCCCTTCGCTTTCTGTACTCTTCAGTGCCAGATGCCTTCTGCTGGTGCACTGTTTCTTCAGCTTTCTTCCACATCGCCTCCGTTTGACTGATTGAAGTCCTCAATCTCCTCACCTCATCTTCCAAGTCCCTCTTTTCTGACATAACTCTTTCGAGCTGTAACTTCAGTGCTGTCGAGTCCTCCTCTCTCTGCATGCTTATCTTTTGGACACTTGTCTTTGTGACATGGATTTCTGACTCGTACGTTTTTTTAAGGTTAATTATTTCCTGATTGTGTTGGTTCCTTACCTTTGAAAGCTCGGCTTCGAATTCACGCTTTCGAGCTCCCTCGTCCTCCAGTTGCATTTTCAGCCGTTCGATCTCTCGCTCCTTGTCCTTGATTGTCTTTTCGATGTCTATCTTTTCCCAGCTGACGTCGTCCAGCTCTTTCTGCCTCTTTTTGATGACGAGATCAAATTCTTGCTGTTGACTGGAATACCGCTCCTCAGCCAGTTTCCTCTTCCTCTTTTCTTCCTCAATCTGATAGGTTAGCCTGGTCACCTGCTCGGACAGGTCTTTAACTTGGGTGAAAGTGCTGTCCAGGTTCTGCTTTGCAGCGCTGTACTCCATTGCCTGTGTCATTTTGACAGTCTCCATGGACGATAATCTTTCCTTATGTTCATTCAGCTCCAGTCGGTATTTGGCTAGGACATCTTCCAGAGCTTTATTCTTTTGGGATTGGTCACTGCTGTCATCTTTCCTCCGTTTCAGCTCCTCTTCCAAAAGTTCAATCTTGGTGTTCCTTATCTGAATAATTAAAAATTGAGGCTTCTTGTAAGTTGTTACTATGCATGTTGGCATACCCCAAAAAAACATTTAATCATTGTAAACCCCTTTAATTTTACTTGCTCTTTGACAAATTTTGATTCTCCAATGCATGCAGTAATATTTTGTTGCCAATTACCACACAAACAAAATCCCAATTTGGTTATAGACTACACTTTCCTCCTACTGGTATTACTATGGAGCAACAAAATCACAAGTAAGCATCAATTTTTCATGTGTAGTGCTTTTGTAAACTAATGGAATTTTATGGACCAGATATCCAGCTGTTTCTCCGGTTTCATCCCTAAACTCTCTAAAATACAATGTCTTGGATTTTAAACTTAAGTTATTGTTCGTTTAAGATGTTAAGCACTGTATTCAAGGATACACAATCGGATGAATCCAGATACAAAGGGAATGCAGCAACACCCTCTTAGAACTATGACTTCAAAGTAAACTGAAGCAATTTTGATGTGATGTTATAGAAACCGGTTGCTATGCACAGAGGATATATAGATAAATTTAATTTGGCTAGAACCGTAACTTGTGTACTGGTCTGATTAATCTGCTAGTTTACAAATAGATTATAAATAGTATAGTATAAAAAGTATTGATAATCTGTTCATCAACAAATAATATAATCCTAGATAAATAAATCACTACTCTTCTAAAATATGTGTAAAAAGTTTTAAAAAAATTATCTGGCCTATTTCAAACAAACAGTTCTAGCACAATACAGTGATCCTGTAGATTGTGATGTGACAATAGGGTACAATAAGGCTTTGCTAATCCAATTTTTAAAAGAACACACTTCAGGACCAGGAGTGAAACAAACACCAGAGCCAAAAAGCAGCCAAATTAAAGGGGTTTATGGAAGAACCAAAATTGTTCAGAATTTGTGAACATTAATTCAAACAGCCATTCATGTTTTTTTAAATAAAAACATTTAAAATGTGACTGCAGCATACAACAACATATTTCATATTTTTTTCCTTACATCCTAGTAACAATTTTTAGCCATATGCATGCAAAAAGCAAATAAACACTATATTGCCAAGAGTTTCTTTGTTGTATTCTGATGTGTCATATTGCTATTACAATCATGTATTATATGTACTCCGATTAAGTCTTATTGAATACAGATTATTGAGTATAGAACAATAAAGACCACAGTAATGAACAGAAAGGAGACCTAATCTACAGCTTTACTAGATATTAATAATATAGAGTGCATGATAACTGTAGTACTTGACTCATTCTTTCAAACACCATCCCAATAAATTCACCAGGATTATTTTATTGAGATTCTGCCATGGATGGGATTCAATGCCATAAATAATGATCAGAAACACAAACTCAAATATTAATAAATTCATATTCTGCACCAGTGGCGCAAATGGTTTCAGAATGAAAATTACTTTACGGCCTGGGTGTCTATGATTACATAAAACTAGTCTGCAAATTCATTTTGTACAGCAAAAGAAAGTGCACACCCAACAGAGATGTCTGCTGTATTCAAGTTTAATAGTATTTAAATTAATATTTTGAGAGCACCTACGGAGCGGAATTTAAATCAGCATCAAAAGAAACATCACTCATCACCTTTTCATACATGAAGAAAATTAGTTTAAGTCTCAGCCAGGGGCGTCAATGTTTTCTTGTGCCAATATAACGGTAAATTTATTATGCTGATTCAGATTTGTCACCAACAGGACTAATCAATAGAGATACTACCCATGAAGTGCCTTGTACAACAATCTCTCCTGGGATTTAACCCCACAACCTTCCAGTAACAAGTCCTGACCACTTCCCCAAAACAGCTGCACAGGGGTGTGTGGATCAGTGGTTACGGTTTGTTGACGCAACAAGTCATGTGATGTCAAACAGTGAAAACTGTGCTATTTTGAAGATTCATTCTGATGAATCAGTTCTGGGCAGATGATGTCATTCTCAGCTGCCCACTTCACTTCAAGTCATCTGCGATTCTAGGGGGTTGTCAGGATTTCCAAAAAGTCTTGGAACATGCAAAACGTGCGTTCTTCTCCGTAGGTACCCGCAAAATATTTTCTGCTTCAGACAACCATGGCATCACAGTAACAAAATTGAGCAACTTGACTGAAATGGTTCTCCTGTTCCTACAGCTCTAATTAGAGAGAAAACGTTCATCTCAAAAGGTAAGCTATTAAAGTTACATAACTGTACAGTGCACAAGTGAAGACCTCTATAAATACCCCTTGCCAATTATTCACAAGACTTCTCACCCATTTACCACCATCAAATGTGTATTTCAACAACAATGTGTTAAAAAACATGTATGTCTACTTGTCCAATACTTTTGCCAGAGCTTACATACAGACATATGAAGAAATGTCATTTATTTACAAAAGTTGTAATGTTGGGAACGCGGAGACATGATGCAAAATCTGGCAGAGAGCAAAAGCAAAGCTCTGAAAGACCACCCTAAGAAATAACACAGTTCATGTTCACTGTGAAAAGGGCACCAGCACAGTGAGCATCAGTGACAGAGAAGGAGAAGCTGCAAGAAAACTGCTACAATCCCTTTTCAAAATACACCACAAATCTGAATACCTTTCAGCCCTGAAGGACAAATGTTTGAACAAATTATTTCCCTAAATCAATGGCTTACAAGTGTTCCAAGTCTTTTAAAACAGGCAACCTTGAGTGGCTAACAAAAGGTACTGGATTGCATCTCAAAGAGACCAGGGCTACAAACCCCAGTCAGAGGGTATAATTCAGAGTTCTATTTGAACACAAATGGGGATGCTCCTAATTCTGGGTTCAGAAGCACTGCTCCAGAAAACTAGAAAACTCTGTTTTAGTTCCATTTCACATCACATTTCTTCCTGATCTAAGCAGACACAAAACCTTTTGACTATGCTCATGGAAGTTTAAAGATCAACACAAAATGATATAGACCACAGCTGACAGAATGCAGCAAATCTGATGGTCAATTTCCTTGTAATTTTTATTTTTGGGCAACATGTCATTTATAAAAATATAATTTACTATTGGCAATATAGGGTTAATTCCTTTTCCTTGGTAAGTATTTTTTCTACTGCAGTGCATTTAATCTCTGTAGTAAAGTTTCAGATTTTATATGTTTTATCAAATCTGATGCTTAAGTTATTTTATGATAAAATACATCAGGTATATACATAAGCTATTCCTATAATTTTCACACAGTTATACTATATATGTATGTATGCACTTATACACATAAGTGTCGTCAATTAAGCTATTTACTATAGGTTTCTCCATATCATACCTTTATTTCTTCCAGGTTTCTTAGCATTTCCCCCAGGAACTTGTAATAGTCACTGGACCTTGTGAGGAGTTCGATGTAACGAGACTGCAGATCTGCTGACTGAAAGACAAAATGGTTTATTTTAAATGAGAAAATTAATCATGTTATATTCAGAAACAAAAAAATACAGTAAGGCCGTACAACTGTCACTTTAAGCTTTGGAAAATTAAAGAATCCTCTCCCTACCTTATATGGTACCTTATTTGCTTTACTTTATTATTAAAATTTAAATTCTATTTTTTAACAATAGGAACAAAAGACAGTCAATCTGTGGAAAGCAAATGAAAGACACAGAGGAAGGCATGCAATGTGCTACCTCTTGCAGTATGACAGTGGAAGGGGACTGCACCATAGTCCTTTTAATGGGTATGTTCAGCAGCGTCTCCAGCCCTGCGCTGTATGAAGCAAGTTGGAGCTCATAATCCTGGAAAATGAAAGAACACCACACTTCAAGACACAAGCCACTCCAAGTAATGTGACTGTTTCTAAAAAACTGACCAAAATGTCACTTGAGCACATCCCTGTATTTTTTATGCAGTATCTCTATTGTCCCTTAATACAAACTCTATGATAAGTATTAAGTTTCCTTTCTCCTTATCAGTCATCACCATTTCGGCTTTTGTCCCCCCACTTTCCAAGCAGTGCAGTCACTTCTCCTTGTGCATGTCTGCAGCAACTGTGATGCAGGAATGTACCGCAGACATTCAGCCATGTGGCCAAGTTAACACGTCAGCTACAGTATTAACAAGATGGTGTTCCTGACAGCTCTTTTAATGGAAATAGTTCTGTTATGGGCGGAGTGGTGGCTCTGTGGCTAAGGATCTGCGTCTGTGACTGGAAGGTTGCCGGTTCAAATCCCGCGGCCGGCAGAGGAATCCTACTCCGTTGGGCCCCTGAGCAAGGCCCTTCACCCCAACTGCTCCAGGGGCGCTGTACAATGGCTGACCCTGCGCTCTGACCCCAAGCTTCTCTCCCTGTCTGTGTGTCTGTGTCTCCTTGGAGAAAAAGCTGGGGTATGCGAAAAGACGAATTCCTAATGCAAGAAATTGTATAGGGCTAATAAAGAAACATTATTATTATTATATAGAACGTACTATATTTCAGCAGGATACAACAGAACAGCATTTACCTTCACTGAATTTGAGCATAGCTCCGCGTTCTTCTGAACATCTTCCACTTTGTCCCTCTTTCCTTTTATTTCAGCATGTAGCATCTGCCCGTTAAAAAACAAAGATGAAAAAAAAAACATTAAAGCATCACAGTGATTACAAAAGGTACAGAAAAAATTATTTCCTCCCCGGAAAGATTTGAGATGACGAAGGCCTGATAAAAATGTGACTCCCCAGCTTCCTCCCCAAGTAAGAAGACACTGTGGAGTCTGACACCCTGGAATGACGACTGCCCTGCAACATACAGCAGCCAACAGGCACAATGTGTGAACACATAAATGGCAGCAGTGACCTCCCGGGCTGAGGTAAACGCTCTGAGCTTAAACACTCTGGTCTCAAAATTTGACTACGGTCTGGGTGAGCAAAAGGCACAAAAGAATATTTTGAAAGCACACACAGCATACCGGGGAAGTCTGGTGCACAGGAAAATGAAGTGGAAGACAGGCCAGGATGCATGACATTTAATCAAGAAGGAGCATAATATATGTGGATTGCTCTTCTGGGGGCATAACAAGCCTTAGTTTATTTCTCTTTTTGCTTACACCACAATGCTTAAGGTTTTCATTGTTAGCAGACAACGTTCACATTAGTTTGGGGGGACGGAGCAACATGGCCTATGATTAAAGAGACCTCTAAATGATGCTGGACGGTGGACCTCAGGGACCAGAGAAGGGCTCCTCTGGCATAATATGATTAACTGTATATTGACTCTGTTTATGTCCTTTGATTGCAGATGTTATACTAATGTTTCATATAAATCCTTACCAGCAGTTACCATTTTTTTGGTTTATTAATTCTACATTCAAACATTTAAAAAATAAAATTCAACAAAGGAAAAAACTGCATTTGAATATTAAATAAAGTACCTTTTGCTGATTCAGATAGTCCATAATTACTTTGGTATCTTCAAATTTGCCAGACTGGAGCGTGTCTTGGCGTTGCTTTGCTTCATCAATCCACTTTCTGAGCACTGTGCTGGTCTGTGTGAAGTGCTTCAGCTGCTGCAAATGCTTCTCCAAATCCCAAAGTCTGAAAAGCAAGAACTTTTTAGCTCATATTTTTTTTTTAAATAAAAGGTTCTGAAAGAGCTCTTGCACTGTTACTGCAGTTATGGGCACCAATATCAGAAAAGTGTACTCATAAAGCCTTTAGTTCTGGTTTCAAGTGCACTCCAAGGAGAAAACAAACATCTTTGTTTTGGCACCTGTCTTTATTTGGAAAATAAATTGGAGAAACATACTGCATGGCATCAGCCGATGCCAAGTGTTGCAGCGCCACAGTTTAGTCCTACAAAGTTAGTAATTCACAGAAAGTTGAAGATTGTAAATCTTGCCTGCTGTCAATCTGGGCCTGGATCCTGCGCCAGCGGTCAGACATCTGCCCCACCACCTCCGCATACTTTGACAGATCCAAATCACACTTGTTGAACGAATCATCGATCTGGCTGTTCCAATGCACCGCGTTATGCAGGTGCACTTCCATATTTTTGATAAGGTCCTTTCTGGCCTCCAGATCTAATTTCATTTGCTAAGGGAGAAAAGGCGACATATGCAGTTTATATACAGCACGTTGTTAAAATGAGTAGTGCTGAATTTCGTATCACGCCATGCAACAATTTAAAGTTTTATCTGCAATTACTAACACTCTCCAAGTTGATCCAAGTCATTCATCTCCTTTATAACCATTTTTGTTTTGAATGACGAAGAGCTCAGATGCAACTATCAACATCTATTCAAAAGACCCATTTATATCATCTTGTTACATTACTTCAAGCAAACAAGTTGGTGTAATCACCCTCAAGAACAAGTTACTGACCTTCAGAGCTGCTCTGTAGCCTTCTATTTCATTGGGGTCAAGAGAAGTGGTTTCCTTTTCAGTGAGTCTGGCCTCATGCACTTTGATGATGTCTTCGGCCTGCAGGATGCTCTGAAGCAGAGCTCGAAGTGCTTTCAGCCTGCAGAGACAGAAAAACAAATTACTCACACAAGGAAACTGACAACTGAAAAACAAAGATCTCCTGCTTGGCAAACAGAAACAGTTAATTTGCTTCTAAACAGGTTCTGTTCTCTTGGAAGCCGCTACATTTTAGAACAAAAAATGGAAGAAGTGCCCATGCTCTTGAAAAGAGCAAAATGAGGAGTGAAGGATGTGCATAGATTTTACAGGAGCAGTTCCAAGTTGTAGTCACTAGAGGGCACATGTTTCAACCTGAAAATTAGCTCAAAAGAATCATTTCTGTGCTCACACATTTGAAATTTACTTCCTCCTAAATACAGTTTCTAAACTAGGGAGATGTGATTATAGCAGTACCTACGGCCTAGGACGTAGTACATTATTAATAGTACCGGTTTTCTCTTTCTGTTAAGCAGATGAAGTTCAGTGCTCAAAAATCCTTTTGCCTATTTTGTTTCTCAAAAACATCTCTGCTCAAACCAAAATAACACAACACTTTTGAATCTTACCTTTCCAAATAGGAAGAAGAAAAGCTTCTCATGCCACCAAGTTTCTGGTTTATAAATGCAAGTTCTGCCTGAAGAAACTTCTCCTTGTCTGGGTCATTCAATCCCTGAAGCTGCCTCAGAATTGTCTCTTTCAGTTTGATGTAGGCATCATAAATGGAGTCTACTTCACCTTGCACAGCCTTAAATTACAATATTTCCATTAAAGAACTTAGTATTTTGAGAAAACAATTCCAAATGACAAGTAAAAAGAAGCTCGAGGGATTTTTTTTATGAAAACACAAATGTTCACACTCATCATTTTAATAATTTTTGGAGTGCTGTTTAAGCACAGCTTCGATTTAAGTGGAATGAGACATTTTCAATTCCTACAAAATGAAATAATGTCCATTGTTTTTTGTCTCTTTCACATCTTACAGAAATATAATGCTTCTTATGCAGAAAATGTATCACACAAATTATGTCTGTAATACCATTAAACAGAAACATTTGTAGGCAAAGGGCTTCCTAAAATATGAATTTACTATATTCTTGCCCATACATTTTTAAAGGTAGCTTTAAGTCCTCATTTTTACATTGTCTAAAATGTGTTAAACCTACGGTCAAAACTCTGTACTTTGTATATCCCCTCTCACTGTTTAATGATCAGGAGTTTTAACGTTTAAATTTTACTATGATCTTATTGCACAACATTCAACATTTCGGTTATCGTTTCACCAATTCATACAGTAGAACATTTTCAGCAGTCAGGCTTCTGTGGGCAGCGAGACCGAGACGCAGACTGAACGGGTCTTAGCGCTCTGATGCAGAGCCGTACCTCCAGCTGGGAGATTCTGGCGGTGCAGTCGCTGACCGAGTCCTCTTGCAGGGAGATGTAAATGTGAGAAGTCATGTTGGCCGCACACTTGTCAAGCCTCTGGCGCAGAGCGTGCAGCGCGATCAACAGGCTCTGACTGGAAGAGCTGACCGGAGACGGGGCAGTCAAGACCGGAGACGGGGCAGGAGGTGGAGGGGGGGTTGGTTGATGACTGACCACTGGTGCTTTGGCGTCGTTGATGATCACCTCGCTCCGTGACCCTGCGACTACAAGAGACACCGCAAACAACGAGGATTATGTCTGCATACTCTATACCCTCCATTCACCGCTGTTGTGAGATTGGATCAACTCTGTTTTTATTTTGACCCATCATTTCCTTTTCAAATTCACAATCTTTTGTAAAATATCGCACTGCCATAGAGCTTATTTTTGACACAGGGGAGGCATGTGGGAAATTTGACAGGCCAAGGGAGGGACGGATCCCAAAATTTTGGGAACCCCTGCTTTTACCGATTTGATTCACCAGTTAAGAGCCCGTCCATCGTACAGCGGCGCGGGACCCTGCACCAAAATGAGCGGATTGAAGGAGCAGAAAGTTGACAGCGAATGCAGAGTGTTCAACAAAGAATGAACTGCAAAATACTTTTGCACAGAGGTTGGAACAAAAGCTATATGTTTAATTTGTAAGGAAAGTGTCGCAGTATTCAAATACAATCTCAGTTGGTATTTTTCTACCAAAATGCTAACTATGCTAGCGATCTGTCATGCGAGGAGTGGGCTAACAGAGCTTCCAAACTAGCCGCTGGTTTACAGGCTCAGCAAGATGTGTTTTTCCACCATTCTACTATCCAAGAGGCCAGCACAGAAGCTAGCTACCTGCTTGCAGATAAAATTGCTAAACAAAGCAAGAAGAGGAGCTTTTGAAGGAGCGTATGAAAGAAACCGTAGATATTCTTTGTCCGGAGAGCAAGAACAAATTTGAGAAAATAAGTTCATCACGCAGAACAGTTACCCGTCGGGTCGAGGTAATCGGTGAAGATTTGGCTTGTGAGTTGAAAGTCAAGTTTTGTTCAATTTTTATTTTTTTATATTTAAAATGATTTTTTTTCTCTCAGGTTATCGTTAACCTTGAACTAATAAGCCTCTGTTGGATTCTTAACTTATATAGGGCATAGGTTATCTGTAACAGCAGCCTGATACAGTTTCCAAATTTTATGTGGCCCTTGGGACAAAAAAGTTTGGCCACCCCTGCTCTATACCCTCCATTCTTTGCTGTTGTGACCACACAGAGAAAATTAATTTTATACCAACAGTGTAGCAGAGTAATACAGCAACATCTGATGAATCAGGTGGTTCAAGAAAAGCAAAAGCAAAAAAAGATTGAAGACCATGAAGCGTGTTCTGAAAAGATAATTACATGCTATTACTGCAATTCAAATGCTGGACTTCTGATCCCATGATTCCTAATATGCTACGTTGTGCTCCATTGAGAGAGTTTTAATAAAAGGCTGATTTTATGGTGCACTAAAAGCACGACAGCGCTGTTATTTTCAGTGAAAAGCACAGCAGAAGGTCAAGAAATTGCTTACCGTACTCTGGCAGTTTTACAACAAGAGTGTTGTAGTGGTCTTGTGCTCCACTGTATTCTGACTCAATCTTCTTCTTATCTTCTTCACCAAACATTTCCGATCCATGAGACTGCCTCAGGAACTCTTGGTAACGCATTTCTAAGCTCTTGATAATGCTGCGGTATTCTTCTGGACGCATCTTCGCAAGCTGAAAGACAAAGAAGAAAAAATAAATTTCTGGATCCTCATTCCAGGACCTGTCAATAAACACCCATGTTAGGATCATCAGCTTGGCTTAACTGCTGGAGATCCTGTGACCAGCACTAAAGCAGGTTTATAACTGGAAGACACATGCACATGTCTCTCCAACGGCACATTATGTTCAACCTCTAGAATAATCTTCACTGACAAATAAAAGACACAGCTGTGGGTTGTACAACACCACATTACATGTTTGCAAAGGCTCAATGAAACAAAAACAGACAAGGAACTGAACCCCAAAGGCAATTGTAAACAACTGCAAAATGTTTAAAAACTAGATCATGTTTTAGCTCAAGCTGTATAACTTACCATGGTAATGGTCAAAGAATTAATGTGATTTATGTCTTTCAAGCAGTACTGCCAGGACACCAAACTCCTGATGTTTATATTCAGCTGGCTCCAGATTGACATAATAGCCTCATAATATTGTTCATTCCTATAACATGGAAAATAATGTCAGCACAACAGGTTTTTTAATCTTCACATACTATTAGTGACAACCATTTCGCTTTGTGACGTTTTAAAGTATTTTGTTCTGCGGCCCTGTGAAATATCTAAAAGTAAAAAGACAGGTTTTCTAATGATTTACAGCATGTAAGACAGTGCTATAAATTATTAAATACAACACGCAGAATACAGTGATAAATGTCAATGGTGAAGATGGTACATTTAATGCTTCCTTGTATCCTCATGTCTTTTGTCACTGAACAGGCCTTTTGGTCCAGAATCTTTGCTGACAAAATGAAAGTGATACTCAGGTGTCTTTTCCAATGATAAAGAGGAGTCATACTGAGGCATAAATTGTCCTCTCTTATCACAAGCTTCACTTCAATGCAATATGCACATTTAAAGGTTTTATAGTTATGGTCATGTATATGCTTGGTCACAGTTTAGAAGATGCAGCATACAGAAGGACTAAACAAAATCATGCAATCCTGGGACTGAATGAATGAATGGGCACATTGGCACTGTAATCTGGACAGGATGCCAGGCCTTCCGAGAGCACACACAGAGACACACCAGAACCATTTAGACTGCGTTTATATGGCTAGGAACTGTCTGTAAAGCAGAATAACCTGCTACAGGCTGGAGCAGCTTCAGAGAGAGGTCTGATTGTTGTCACTTCATGAGGGAAGAGTACGGAAGCCTGGAAGATCTCTGGGAACGTACTTGGCAGCAAGGCTGATGCTGAGAGGATTGGGGGGCGGGATGAGGAGACAGACCGAAGGAATCAGCATGTCCAGCCCCCCCGGGCCGGTCACCTGCCACTTGCTGCGCTGGGAGTTGTCTTTCAGGATGCCCTCGTTGCCCTTCAGGATTACTTTCTGGATGGACAAAGACAGCAGATGAGGGCCCGGCCGCCCGATCAGAGCCAGCCCCGGGCCCCGGGCCCCAGCCCCGCCACGGCGCCAGCGGACCTACCTGGTCCTGCTTGAAGTCGGTCAGGGCCTGCACGATCACGGTGCTGCTGCTCTTCTCCTCCGGGTTCCGCGGCTTCAGCTGCACGATGGTCTTGGCCTTGCTCATCAGGTGCTGCACCTGCCTCCTGTTCTCCATGATCCGCTCTTTCTCTTTCTGTTTGGGTGGGAGAAAAATATCCCCCCCCCCCCCTACAAGTGAGACATTTTCCAAAATCCCACACTTACTTTTTTTATTACAAGCAAGCCAAAACATTTTAAGGAGTTGTGCTTGCCTTCATGCTATAGGTGCATGGAAATATCGGTAGGGAGTATTCATTTTCTAGGAAATTTCCAGAGATATATAGCTTAACTAAAGAAACAGTGTCTAGGTAATACAAACTAATCCCACAGGACTTCATGGAATATTCCCCGTGAGCTGTTCCTCCCGCTGTTAATCTGAATGCCGTACCTCCAGGTTAGTAACAAACTCCAGCAGTCTTTCCAGAGGTGTGCTCTTGTCACAAGCAAAGTTCTTGCGGATACTTTCGTGTTGCTTCTGCAGCTTGCTGTAGGTTTCAGTGGCTTCCTTGAAGAACTATAAGGGACGGAGAACAGTGGAGGAAATGTCCTTCAATACATACAGTCTTTTTTGTCAAAACCCAGAAAGTGAAATGATTTTACAATCAGAATGTCTGTAAATGTCAGATGACGTCTCTCTATTATTTACAGTAATTCCAGCTGCAGCAGCCAGCAAAGACAACATTAGGAATCATGGGAAAAAATTGAAAACACCCAGATTCTTTTTGCTTGAATTCTTTAAATCTGTTGGAATGACCTTGTACCTTTAATTTTTTGAAGACAGAATAATGCACCTTACCTGGCTGTAGGCAGCATTTTCCTTCAGGTGTACATGAATGCATTTTGTTATTTGAAGAAGCCAGCTCCATTGTGTTTGCAAAGTGTCCATGTATGCCTAAACATAGATTGAAGAGGTTTTAAAAGCAATGAAGCATAAAGGTTTGAAAGGTGGACTGCAGTCAGCGCCAATTTGCAAACCATTGGGAAACCCGGCAAACAGTTGTTTTTTTACAGACTGCTTGTTCAGTGGACACATTTTTTAAACAAAAATCACACCAAAGTGGAAAGGGACTGAAGTTGTAATACATACGATTTATCTGCTCTTGAGGAGACATAGCGTTTGTCGATATGCAAACCAATTCAGTCAATGAAAGCACAAGACATTATGAATGAATGTCTATGACAACTAGAAAAAATATATCTGCCCACTCGCATTCAGCTTTCAATATAAGCTTTTAGATACAGATTTTGAAGAAGTACAAAAGGATTCTACAAGTTCTAGTCCCTCTAGTCAAACAAACACTGTCATGTTCCAAACTGTCCCCTTCAGTGGTGACATGCCAGTGAACAGGAGAGCTAACAGGGTTGAATGGTGGCAACTGACTAGCATAAAACTGATAAAACTAGCAGGTGAGAAGGGGAGTGTTAAGAACATTAATAATGTTAATAAGCAAAATAATGCTCTTGGATTCGTATTTGGCACCTCGAACCCAGTATGAACCCAAACATGCTGTGTTTAACTGACACTCGGTGGACGTTTCTACCACAGAAAGAGCACCACATGCAGTCTCTCCGGCAAAGACCGGCCCTACAGTAGTGTCCTGTCTTACCTCAATCTTGTCAAAAGCAGGGTGATTATTCTTGAGAAGACCATCCACTTTTTGCTTCAGCTTATTGAGGTACTTTTCTTTTTCTTCCAGGTCACTCATAAGTTTCTACAACAACAGCAAACTTGTCTTTAGAGTAAGCACATACACCCAGCGGAAACAAAAGCACATCGGATCACAGTGATATTATAGATATCAAAGTGTAAATCATTATTGGCTAAATATCCAATGCAGAAAGAAGACCCTACACCTTATCAAATGATAAGGCTACGTCTGACAGTTTCTTACTGAATAGCCCTCTTGCTTCTTGGGGATGTAGTTATCGATGTTCTTATCACCCCAGTCGAAGACCAGTTCCTCCTCCTCTCTTTCATTCACCCACATGATCTCTTTGGATATTTCTTCTATGATGCTTTGTAGGTCCTTCAGCTGCTTCATTCGTTCAAAACACATTTTCTGAAAATCGGAAAAGCACATGCATTTAAAAACACATATATTTAACACTTTTTAAAGTACCGTCTACTAATCTGCCTCAAGCAGACATTTTCTAAACGCTTTATTGTGTTTTTAATAATTAAATTACTCTGGCTAAAGTCTTTCCAGTGAAAGGGGAACGGAAGAGAAAAAACGGATCCTTATTTGCGCTCAGACACTTAAGTTATGTGGAAAATATGGTATCCAAATAAAATTAAAAATAGAGGTTTTTATTCCAGTCAAAGCTGATACTATTCTGTTTTTCAGTTTTCCAGCATGAACCGTTCTTGTTGGGAAAAGACCAGATTTCTTTGAAGTTTCCAAAATGGGGGTTGGGGTGTTATTTCCATTTTTCTTCAGTATACACTGCTCATACACTCAAAATGTCTGCAGAGTACAGTGTCTCTGGTATCACCTGTTTCCACAAGATATGTGCAAAATCCCTGTAAAATCATGGAAACGTTTCCACTTACCTGCAGGCTGTCCCACTCTTGATCCAGGGCATGGAGTGCCCCCTTTTCACCTTTTTGGAGCTAAAAAACATACTTCAATTAACATTAACCTTAAGCTATGTATACATCCGTTTTAAAGTTTAAATATTCAGTTAAAGTAACTGAATATCGTCATTTGTAAAGAAAACTTTAAATTATGCTGATGACAATCAAGTCGACAGAAGATAGATCTTTCAGAAAACCTAAAGTAGAAATACATATTAACAGTAGTAGTAATTTCCTTGGTGTGTCAACGAGCCAAAATGTGTTCTGTATAATGCGAGTTCTGACATTTCTGGTCAGAACACCATTTTCATGAAAACCAGCTTCTTAAAAGGATCTGTAAATTACCTTTGGAGGGAATTGTGTAACAAACTAAAAGTGTTGCACAAGTTCAATGAAACAGTGTTTTACACACCAGGAACCTTTCCTATCTCACTTTCTTAAATTAGTAGGATTAATTTTTGAAAACGTTTTGTGCCTGGATGTAATAATTGTAGCAAACAAGAACATACAAAGTATGAAAAAACAACAGAAAGCAGTCTGAGCAGTTTACAAAGTCTGAAAAATAATCTTGCTGTGCTTGTATAAATGAAACTAAATTAGACCACTCCAAGGCTGCAAGACACACATTATGAGCTTTGTAACTGGGGCACATTACCACAGTTAAATGGCTAAGAGCTATTTCCACAAAGAGGAAATTGGAACAACCTTGAATAAGAGCTAAAGATGAGATGTCATCCAGAGCGAGAAAGAATTTGAAAAGTACACACCAGCTCATCCCTGGCTCTGTCCACCTCAGCACTCCTCTGGATGGAGCTCTGAAACTTCTTCTGGTTGTAGATCTGCTGCTCAATGGCGGCACTGTCATCACCCCAAGGCGAAGTCTCAATCAACCGCTGATGAAAAGAAATTATAATTAAGGAACAAGAATAAAACGTCCTTCTTTTATCCGTTTCAGGTTTGGATTTTTTGTGGTCTCGGGAGGCGAGCGGTCACGATTCCTGAATGTTTTTGCTCTGAGTCAGCAATTTTTTTTTTCCTGAAAGAGCAGCTCGTTCGCGATACAACATAAGAACCCGCAAAAAATAGTTCAGTTTCGGCATATGGTACTGGTTTCCCACCAATACAAATAATGCTGTGTGTAAATAGCCATGATTAAGTAGATAAAGGTGTTTTGCTAAACAAAAATAATAATAATAAAGGTAATATATAGGTGCTAAAGCTAATGTATAAATAAATAGATCAATACTCTTGGTCTGAACATCTACCCAACAGCACGTAATTCCACTAACAGCCTCTGGAGGGCAGCAGAATTTCACCTTAACCCCTTTTAACTCGGCCTCTTACCCAAAGGGAAAGAATTCCAGGAATTCATGGTAGACAGGGCCCTGTTTGCACTGAGATAAGATAACAGCTATTTCTGTTCCACTTTTTTGTTGAACACCCCCAGCTGTCTTACTGAGAACCTACCAATCCTGGACTCCACTGTTACACATCTCTCATCAGACAGCCCCTCTCACGAATTGCTAGTTTGTTGATTCATACAAAAAAAAGTAACTTCTCTTTGTGTTTTTGGAGAAGTTTGTTGCTTGGCACTCAGAGGGGGCTTTTCATACTCATAGTTACTCCAACAAGATAACACAGAGACATGTTTATGCACTGAGTGGGAGTAAGGTCTGTACAAATCTTCTCCAAGAAAGGGAGTGAAGGTATCAGACAATGAGTCATTCATGACTGGAAAAAAAACAACACTTAAATGATAACACAGATAACACATTCACTTTGCTCTAACCTTTAAGTGAAATACAACAGTCTTTATAAAAGGGCACTTTACTAACACTAAATTAGTATTGAATGTAGACAAGAAAAAATTCTTACCGCATAATTTTATACTTGAAGAATTTAAAGCTTTAAAAAGCAACAATTTGGTTTTCCTCACAATATTCCAGCTGTAAATGGAACCTTTTTTTTCTAAATTATGTTTATCATCATTTCATAAACTCTCATTCTAAACTTGCTGCATTTGATGGTTCAACAATAAAAAAAATCATCAAGGATAAACTTCAACAGAAACAGGAGTAGAGTGGAGTTTATTGTCATACGCATACGTGCAATGAGATGCTTAATTGTATGTATGCTCCTATACAAGATATTAAGGAAACACCAAAAACACAGAACAGTGGCAGCAACAACAAGTTAAACAACATACAACTTAAATAAAACAACATCAGTGTGAACCAGTGGTAGGGGTACAGTTCAGTAATCTGACATCTAACAATAAACCTTATTTTAGTTTTCTAAATTTGCACTGCAAAGTCTCCCCTCCCCCAGGTATATGAAGCACACGAGTCTGCACTCCAGACAGCGGCTTGAAATAAGGCTCGGGGCTCAGTCGTATGTTGGATAGAGGAATTTGAAACCAAGGAGATGATTAAACCACACACTTGTGCCAGGTTTCACATGTACTTTCGAGGTTCTTATGAGAAAGCAACTCAGCACCTTTTCTTATAACTGAGCAAGTCTTTGCATTGAAAATGATAACTATAAATAACGCAGACGGGGCCATTTCTTTAACCTGACTTTCTGAATAGCTTTAGAACAAATACACACCGACAGTCACGTTGATCATGAAACGGTAAATGTGACTCAGTATTCCATGGATTGCACGATCACGTTCTGTCCCAGCCCTGTGCCTGGTGTCCCATTTCAGTATTTCAGGTCCTCAGTCTACAAAGGTAACGAACGCTCCACCCCCAGACAAGCACAGAGAGCAGGTTATGACAAGTGCGCGAGTCTCCGGTGTCTCACAGCTCTGTCACAAGAGCCTTACTTCTCCCAGCAAGGTACGAATGCTACCCAGGTTGGCAGGAAAAGAACCTGAGGATCTTGCTGGAGCTGCTTCTTATAAAGACTAGAACACACAGTCAGCTTATTCCAAGACCAACTACACTTACGCTTAAGTAGTCGTACAAATTTCTTTTTCAAAAAGCAGTGATTTTAATCACGGCCCTGCGTTAATCCCATGATACTTTAAAGATGAGATGGGAGCCACTTCAAGCTTCAACACAGCTCCGAAACAAAAGGCACCCAGAAGCTTTCAAAAATGTACACGTCATAACGGCAACCCTCTGCATTATGCACGCCTAAGCAGCGCCTCAAAATAAATCATAAATTAGTCACGATTCCATCGGCTGATCAGGAACAATCCAAAATCACCCATGTCGCTTTTTAACAGCACACATCTGTCCATCCTCAATAAGTGCTTAGTCCAAGATGGGAGTCAAGAGTACTAAACATTCTGGCACAGCATCCTTATCGGGGAAGTTAGAACGTACCTTCTGTTGCCCAATCCAACCCATGGCTTCATTAAAACTTCTCCCAGGGTCCTCCCAGTTCATGCTGCCCTTCCGGCGCAGGGTGCCCTGCAGCAGCGAGTGGGCAGCACGGACCTGCTCCTTGAACTGCTGGGCGCTGGAAGGACAGGCCGCCGTCGTCACTTACACTTCACCTCTCCAGCTTTTATAAAACCTTACAAATCGCAGCTCGGCAATACTTCTGCGCCTCCAAATGCAGATGTCCCCATCGAACAGGGGGGCAAACTCTCTGCCGTGTCATTAATCTTGCGTTTTTAAAGCGATCATCCCCGAGATTGCACGAAGTAATAGCCACTCAAATATCCCCATATCCTTCTGCATGTTTCAGAACCAAAAAAAGTTGCATAAATAATACAGATTATTCATTACTAGCCAGTTTAACTTTTCCAAAATGTTTTTCTCACAAAACATGAAAATTCATAGAGGACACAACCGCGTGTAACTGAAGAAAGACACAGTTAGATGTTGAAGAAATGAATACCATCTCAATGTAACAAATTGCTAAGCAAAGAATTATGCTGTGTGCGATAGAAAAATACAACCGGACGTGACCTTTTCCGAGTACTTCCTTAATCTAACATTTATCATTTAAGCAAGTGCAAAAAATGGATTTCTTACCTCCTAGCCGCATGCTCAAAGGGCTGATTCAGAGACCTGAGCTCTCTTGCACATATATTGAGCTGCTCAATACTTTCATTTGACATTACCAGATATTTCTCAGCATCTGCCTTGCCTCTGCCTGATGATCCAGAATCTAGGTACTAAATACACAAGGGGAGAAACAACATTAATTTTTCATAAACTAGGTGCTCAACACTCACCACTCAGTATAAATAAATAGGATAGTCCTAGTTCTGGTCAACGAAACAGCACATCAGCTTTTGCAAAAATATAAAAAAGGACCACACTGATTTTTTTTTTTATTCATTTCATGGCCCACATGCATTAAGGCAATAGGCAACAAAATGGGTCTGGGACAAGCTGCCCTATCATGTTGTCAAAGACAACTGTCAAAACCCAGGGGCCTGCTGTTTCTTGTTACCTCTAGTACACTTAATGCAAGGCATGTATTTATAAACAAAGTAAAAGGTCTATTCTCATCCACAGAAAAACATGAATAACTGAGGAATCTTTCTACTCTCTTATTTCCCCGTTTATTCTTGTTTGGGGGATTCAGGTAGAAGGCAAATATATTTTATGGCCAGGCTCCTTCTCATAAAACACATGCCCTGACAATGAGGCTATGAGTCAGACACAAAAGAAGAAACTTCAAATGCTCTGTTCTACATTACGTTTCAACCAAAGAGGTACAGCCGTTTTAAAATAGCAGAATCTAAAATAAATATGTAACCAAATATTTAAACTAAAATATTTGCTGGGCAATTACTTATTGTTATAATCATTATTATTGTTTAGCAGAAAGACTAAGAGGATTAATAGGCATTTTTGTTGTAGTTTCAGTACAGATTCAAGAAACAAGAAATCATTATTGACTAGTAACTCATCAACACTTTCCTAAGAAACATTAAAAACAAGCATCGGTCAGTAAGCAACATTCTGACAGCTTCAAAATGTAATATAATTATAGACAAAGACTTAAGTTAATAAAAACAAGGGGAAAGCCAAGAATGTATGATAAACTTGAAGATCCAACATTTAGTAACACTCTGTAATGTGCACGCAAGCAGGAACAAAATGCAAATCTTTCTTTTCATGGCTAGCTTTCCTACTATTACTGCCATGTTATTTTAACACGTATGTCATTATACAAATACTGAGTAATCATTAACAGATGTCCACGTTTTGTGTAATTTTATGCATCATAATATATCTATTGCAAATTTAATGATTAAACTTCTTGAAAATCTAAGGTCTGCTCTTATATATATGTTGTACTGCAAACTGGGCAATTTGAGATTTTGGACTTAAAAAAAAAAACATGCACAGTGTTTTGAATTCCGAATATAAAAAGTGCACTTACAAACTGGAGATGGTGCTCTGCTCTTTTCAGATAATCCTGACATTGGTCCTGTAGAATAGCTACTCTTTGCTGGAGAGATTGAATTGAGCTGTAGAAACAAAGCAAGATAATTATTAACTTGGGCACCACCTTCCAATTTTCTGCCCAGAGTTTCTGAATCAGAGAATGTTGCTACTTATCAATAGGAACAAAACAATTCTCATGACCGCAGATGAATACATTAGAAAACAGCATTCAAACAACCTGCTAAATAGCATGGGAATTGTGTGTTATTTTTCTCCTCAAAGATAAGGGCTGGCTTAAGAAATATGAATAACACATCATTTGGAGAGAGTAACAATGACAACAACATCTGAGGATGAAAGAAGAACAGTATTTGATGGCTTTCTCGCATTTTGTCAGGAACCATTTAAACTGAGTATTTGAAAATTAAAAAGGACTGCTGGGACAATATTACACAATGCATTAAACACAAAGATGAAAGGGCAATCAATACAAATGACTCCCTGATGAAGACCAGTATAATATTTCACTATTCTTTACTGGCTTTTCTATCATTCATGACCATACAATGGCATCTTTTCAAGAAGTACACAGTAAAATAAAGCTTTGAATACTACAGCACATGAGAGGTAAACTAAAATTCATGGAGCTCTGCAGTGTGTCCTGGCAAAAAGTTGATCAAATCGCTCTGTCCAGGCCCTTTTTAAACTCAGCTTCATCCTCAGACAAATATCATTATCCATGTTTCCCCCCAGAATTTGAGATAATAACAAAGCATGAACGGCATTAATTATTATGAGCTGCTTAAGTGCAGTTTGAAAAGTAAAACAAAAGCTGTTAGGGAATGTCCCGCAGACATTATCTGACATACTGTATGTTGCTGTGCAAAAAGACACCATAAAATAATAAGGAGTTATAATTTATGTGTGCTGCAAGCATCAAAAATGTAATCAATGCTTCCAATAATGTTTTCTCTGAATACTGCAATGAGTATAATTGATATAGCTACATTTGAGAGAGAAGAGGGTAATCTTATTTTGACATTTTAATTCATATTGATGGCTACTTCCTTAAATCTTTTGGACAGCAATGAACTTTATGTAATCAAGGATGTATTTTTTCCGGTTACTTCCATGAATGTAAGTCACACTGCAGCAGAAAAAGCAAAGAAAATGATATCATTACACTTCGCTTAAGAAAGAAAATAAAGAAATACACCAAAAACACCTCAACAAAGTTAAACGAAATTTTGATTAAATCTCATCATCTACAAAAACATTAATCACAACGGTGATGTAAACATTAACCTCAATAGCCAAAATGTTGTTTTTCCCTTGTGCTCTGCAGCGAGCAATTAATTATTCCTGTTAATATAAAAATGTCTGGTAAACTGCTAACATCTTCAAAGATTAAAAGTGCAAACTGGAAGACAATTTTGTTCTTCGATAATCCGACACTTCTCTACATATTTTTATTAAGTAGGGTATTATAGATCAATGTTTTCCCAACAGAATCAATAGCTGGGTAGGCTCTAAAACGTCACCCCATGCAAAGTGGGGATTTCTTAGCATCAATTATTTTGCTCTAACATTTCGTAGTGTTATAACAATTCGCAAATAATATAATTTATGATCGACGCATCTTCTTATTTTCAGGTATCAACACAAATCGGTCACAAATGTTGCAAGCGGTCTGTCGCAATTCATTGCAATGGGAGGCATGGCATAAAAACTAAATATATATTGCAATGTATGCGTATTTTCTGTTTCGTATCCTCTACGTTTGTCAGGTTATTAGGGCGTGTGTTATCAATTAGAAACCATGCACGGGCATTCTTATGCTCTAACAATTTAGCATCAGGCATATCCACCTAGCACAAATTAATCAAGATATTCAAGAGAGTGATGCCTAGTTTTAGCTTATTCGTGTTGTTTGGCTGGCGATACAACACAGTGGCGCCTGTAGGAATGTATCAGTTGGCTACTTTTTATTCTTTCCGGGAAGGTATTACAATTGTTATTGCTAAAAACAGCGAAATTCACAAACTAGTTTAGTTCTTCCATCATCTCATTGTTCAGGCTTATATTTGTTAAAGACAATTCATATTGTCCGATTTTGAAGCCTTGCAAACTTAAATTTAAAAAAAACATCTGTAAAAGGATCATCACTGATCCACTAATTTGTAGAATGTACACTAATTGTATTTGTATGTCGACTTGTGGTACAGGTTCACGACATTAGTTTGGGTTACGTACCAACAACAATTATAAAAGT